CAGTGCCTCACACATGCCAGGCAAGTGCTCTGCCACTGAGCCACAACCCCATCCCGATCCAGGTCTTTTAAGTTTGTTAGGTAACTGCCAAGTTGATGGTCAGCTCTTCAGAGCATACTCTTCAGTGGTGCAACTGAAACCCTAGGCCTAGAGTGTTTGTGGTATGAGGAGAGGGGAAACAGTACCTCACCTAATTCTACCTACATTGGCTTCTAGCTACTTCTCTGGTTTTGGGTAAAATGACACCTGCTAAATAACCACACTGGCCTTTTGTGAGGCTGAAACCATTCCTGAGCTACTTCTGACTAGTTCTGCCATAACCTCATGATGTCGTGGAATCTGGGACAATAGTTTCTACCTAGCTCACTCTACCCAGAGAAGTTTGTTGTCCCTTTAGAAGGCCAGCTGTCATGGGAAGGAATTTGTTCCTTCTGGTGGCCAAAAGGTAATCACATAATTAATAGGGCATTTGAAGTAACTATGTTCTTACACATCAAATTGGTTTTGAGCCAACTGTATATATACTGTGGGGCACTGAGTAAAACATACTTGGTGAGTGAATTCCTTCCTCCTCTTTATGATTGGATGATCTTAGAAGGTCCAGTATAGGGCATGGAAGGAAGGGGCGGCTGAGGAGAACCATCAAACACCTTCCAAAGTTATGTGGTAACTTTTTCATATATGTGTATTTTTTTCTCATCTCTTGTCTTTTTAAAAATTTCATAAATAATATATGAATATAGTCTTAAGTAAGATTTAAATAATAAAATACATTTTATTGTTATTATTATTTAATAATTTTATTATTTGTTATTTAGTCCCCATCTGTTTGTACCCTGATCTGTCAAACACACACTCACACACACACACACACACACATTTGTGTTTCCTTCCCCTGTAGTTGTCTATTATCAATAATATGAGCTGCATCTTTCCATTTGTCTTCCTATGTATTTAGAAAACCATGACAGCTTTTAGTAAGAATTTGCTAATGGATTAGCATGTATGTGTGGAATAAGTGGTATCCTTTAATATGTGTTGTTCTACAACTTATAGAACATGTTTCTTCATTCTTAGTGATAGATATTTAGATGGTTTCTAGTGCTTTGCTATTACACATAAGGAAGACCTTAATATCTTTGTGCATATATCTTTGTATACATGAGCAATAAGGGTAGCTTTCTAGAAATGAAATTGCTGAATAAAAGACAAATACATTTCAAATTTTGAAGGTTGTTCCTAGATAACCTTCTAACACAGCTTTTCCAATTTATAATCCTGTGACCAATGCTTGAGAATGCCTTTTTCCTTATGTCTTTTTCAAATCTTAATATTATTCATATACTCTTAAAGGCCTGAGTGAAAACCTTCTTAATGTAATTGCTACTCTATTTAGAATTTTATAGCTTGCTGAGAATCTACCTTTGTGGGCTAAGGTTTCTCACTTTTTTGTTTTTAGAGTTAGGATGCTGATGAGTGGTCTGAATATTTGGAACACTTATGGAAAATTCCCTAAGTGCTCATTAAATTGTACTACTAAAAAACTGTTGCTTATTTAATGTTTTGTTTGTACCAGGTACTGTGCTTTAGTTACATATGTATTTAATCCTCATAACTTATATTAGTCATCTGTTGCTGATTTACATGTTGTCCTAAAACTTAGTGGCTTAAATCAATAAACACTCAGTATCTCAGAATTTCTGTACTTGGGAACTGGAGAGTAGTTCAGCAGAGTGGTTTTGACTAGCATCTCTAAGCAGCAAAGCCACTGCAGCAAAGATATCAGCAGGCCTTCAACATATGAAGGCCTAACTCGGCAAGAGACCTCAGTTCTTCCCAACGTGTACCTCAACCTAGGGATGTTTGTGTGTCCTCACAATATGGCAGCTAGCATTCCCAGAATGAGTGATCCCAGAGCAGAGAGGAAATCATAATGCCTTTTATGTATGACCTAGTTTCCAAAGCTGCCGATTCCTACATCCATTTTATTCTGTTTACTAAAACAAGTCAGGTTAGTCCAGAACTCACTCAAGGGGAAGGGAAAGGAAGGTAAGACTGTCAAAGAATTTGTAAACATATTTTAGAACCATCACACATCCCTCTGATACGGTTGTTAAACAGTAGTTGTTATGCCTACTATATTGAAAAATAAGTTTACTACTTATCAGCCTTATCTCCTGCCTCCTGGCCTCTCCCCCTATTCTGCTTGGACTACCCATCTCAAGGTTCATCCCAGACAGAGTGTTTATTCTCAGCCATTCATTTATTCAGTAAATGCTTACTAATTACTGTCTTCGTGACAAGCATACTCTGGAAGATACAGCAGAAATGGTCCTTGAGCACATGAAGCTTATAGTCTTGTGGAGGAGAGAAACCTTAATCAAATAATCACACAAATAAATAAGTCATCACCTTGAGAAGTACTATGAAGAAAAAGTACCCCTGAGCTTATTTATGCTGTTTGTTCATTACCCATTCCTCATTGCCACTGTCATCCTTCTAACCTCAAAAGAATGCCTGTTTTATTTTTTTGTTTATAAAAGTTAACTTTTCCATCAGAGTCTGAGTTAGGACAGGCTTCAATAAAGCCTGTCCCTTCCCGCCTAATATTATTTCAGAACTTTATCCAATATCACACTTAATACTTAATCAGTTGTTTAATGTGACCTCTTTCTCAGCTTTTTTTTTTTTTTTAATACTTTTATTTATTTATTTATTTATTTTTATGTGGTGCTGAGGATTGAACCCAAGGCCTCACGAGTGCTAGGTGAATGCTCTACCACTGAGCCACACCCCAGCCCCTCAGCTTCTTGAGGTAGTTTTCCTTAATTCCTCTCTCTTCCTCACCTCTTCCCAGCAAATCATGTCAGTCACAACTTCTACCACTAACTCTGCTACCACTGAAGTTCAAACTACCATTGTCTTTTACCTACACTACTCAAATTGCCTCTTTTTCTGGTTTCCATATATCTACAGAGCAGCAACAGTCATCTTCCTACAGGTTATCTTCAGTCATGTAATGATTCTGCTTATACCTCTTCCCATCACAGCTCAAATACAATTCATATCTTTGTTCTGATTTATAAAATCCTGCCTGTTCTGGCCCTTTCCTGTATCTTTGGCTTCACCTCCCACCCCCAAACCCTCCTCACACACATTATTTGGTCCTGCCACCTGACCTTTTTTCTATTCTTTAAATATGTCAAGCTCTTTCCCTAGCAATTTACCCTGAAGTATACGTCATCCAATCTTTGTATGATTAATTTCTTTTTATTATTTAGATTTTAGTTTAACTTTCTTCTATAGAGGCCTTCTCTGAATTTGATCCAAAGTAGCTATTCAGTCACTCTTACCAGGTCAACTTATTTTAATTTTCTTCTAATGCTGTCTACCATCTGATATTTTTCTTATATGAAATTGTTTATCTACTTGCACTGAAACATAAGCATTGTAAGATCCCTGATATCTGTGTTGTTCACCATGGGTATATAATAGAGTTTAATAAATATTTGTTGCATTAAAGTGAATGAAAAATGGGCAAGTCTTTGAACTTACCTGTCCTAAAGGGAAAGAAGGAAATGAGAACTTGAATTCCTGAGTTCCCAAGTTCTTTATTGGATTCCCTTACCCAAACCAAGCTGCTGCTCATTCCAGCAGCTCTGTTAACTTCTTTGCATAGTATTTAGTACTTTCTGATTCTCTTGTTTTTCTGTCACCTTCTGCTGAGATGAAAGCTCCATGAGAGCAGAACCCTGTCATCTTATTTGCCACTGTCTCCTCAGTGCCTGCAGCAGTGCTTGGCACAGAGAAGATGCCAAGCATCTGTTGAAGGAATGATAGGGAATATGGTTCTCTTTTGTCTAATATCCTCCTGGTTCCTGCCACAGTCCTTGGCCTGTGCCTAGAAACACCGAAATGTTTACTCTATGGCCATTCTTAATATCATTGCTTGGTAGATCTGAATTCTTATCCTAGAATTTGAAATAGGAAAGCAGTGTGGATCTGAGAATCTTTGAAGAATGTTTTTTTAATTAATCTATTTATTTATATATGACAGCAGAATGCTTTACAATTCTTATTACATATATAGAGCATAATTTTTCATATCTCTGGTTGTATATTCACACCAATTTGTGTCTTCATACATGTACTTTGGATAATAATGTCCATCACATTCCACCATCATTTCTAACTCCATGCCCCCTCCCTTCCCCCTTTGAAGTTTTTTGAGCTACGCTACAAGCCTCCTTAGAATATTATCTCTGCAGCCCGAAATTGAACTTCTCTCCATGCAAGAGAGAAGTTCAGCTATTTAGAATTCTACCCCTAAGTAGCAGAAGGGAAGCCACATTTTATTTTGATTCAACTCCTGTTTTAATACATTCATTGAATCAGTCAATGAGTCAGTGGTATTTATTGAGCCCCTTCAGGGTACAAAGTAGTGCTTTGGCTGAGTTATTGAGTTTGAAATATTAATCACATTATTAAACCAAAACCAAATCCCTAAGTAGTTGAAAGTACTGTTCAAATTGTCAAGGTATAGTTCCTTAGACTATATTTTGTAATATGGGCTTTTATTTTATAAAATATGTTCCCACATGGACTGGAACAAAAGTCAGTTAAATAACTGAGGGTGTTATATTTTACCAAAATGAAACCTTGAAGTGGTCCTTGATCATTAGCTTTCTTCTTGTCTAACTATTGAAGGATTGTATGTAATCACTGCATCTTTTGGGTTATTTAAGATTTTAGACCTTATAACTGCTAGGACTAGGATAAAGAATAATAACCTCTCTTTCCCTCTTTGGCACTAGTTTAAATTGGGCAGGGAAAGAAAGGGTATTATTGCTGCCTCCTGAATCTCAACCCTATCCAAGGTACTTTTAGTTCCTTATTCCTGCAAACTGAAAGTGTACCTTGACTTCATCAGCCTTGTAGTTTGTGAAGGAAACATATCTATGAGTTCTGTTTTCATTGTTTGTTTTTCCTTTTCTTTCCAGATTTCTCTGTTGACTTCTGCAGTAAACCACCTTAAAGCCAATGTTAAGTCAGCTGCAGACTTAATTAGCCTGCCTACCACTGTAGAAGGACTTCAGAAAGTAAGTGCTTTATATAAGTACTGAGACTAACCTACTGCTGGACTTCTAGCTTCAAAGTTTTCTTTGAAAGCCTGGCATCTAAAATCAGCTGCTCAGAGAGGGCAATAATAGAATCTTATCATAGTGTTCTTCAGAGTTCAGAAAACTTTGTTTTGGTCTGGTTAATTAGACCTTTAATTTGCAACATGTTACTTTAATGATGGTTTATAGGGTTCACACATTTTTGTCTATTGCAGTCCTAGATTTACATTGCTGAGACTCGTATGTTAGCTTATGGTCTTGCTTTTCAACACTTGCCTTTTCAGTTTTTCATTCATGTAGTCTTTATGAAAGCAGACTATTTGTACATGAGTGTTACCCTAAATCTCTGCTATTTTCCATGTTTAAAAAGAGTTGGTTTGGGCTGGGATTATAGCTCAGTTGGTAGAATGCTTGCTCGCATGCACAAAGCCATGGGTTCAATCCCAGCACCACAAAAAAAAAAAAAAAGAGTTGGTTTTTGTTTTTGTTTCCAGAGACACAGAGATATGTATTTAGGAAATCAGATACACATCCAAAGGAGAATGAGGGCCATCTCCAGAGGAAAAGATAGCCAAGAGTTGGGTATTTTCCCTTAAAAAAAGATGTAAAGGAAAGTAAAATGTAAGAATTTAAGGAGCAAGTGTTGCTAAGGATGTGAAGCAAACACTCCTGCTGAGAGTTTAAATTGGAAAAAAAATAACTTTGGGAAACAATTTGACATTTTATAAAGGTAAATGTACACATCCTCTGAGCAATTCACTTGTAAATATATGCATAGATTCTAGTTTAGAATTCTAGTTTAGAATTTCTCTTTACGTGATCCGTAGGATTCAGACCTAGAGAAGGAGGCAAGAACCAACCAGATAGATGATACTTAGGAATCCTTAGAACTGGATGGGGGTTGGAAGGGGAAAGAATGTACCTAACTGAACATAAGGAAATATCCCTGCATCAGGAAATGGAAGAAAGGATTCAGGAGTAAGAGAATCTCAAAGAGTGGGTATTGAGTCTAGGATCTTTGGCTTTTTTCAAAGTTCGTGTGTGGTAAGTTTGATTCAGTTATATGCCAGTCTTTATAAAAATTTCAGTTGTTTCAATAACAGAGTGAGAAATTCCTGAGCCATGAATAAAACAAAACTTGCTATTTTATAGACACAACATCATATGTGCTCAGTTGTCAGTTTGCTGTTTGTCTGTTATGGTGATCTGTTTTAAACATTAAAAAAAAAAAAAAGGGTAGAGACATCTTTGATGAAGCCAGATTCTTGCTGTTATTCCCAAGAGCCAAGTAGGGAAAAGGCCTCTGTAGGCATTAGTACAAAAGCAAATCTGGCAGTCTTTCATTAAAAAAGGAAACTAACTTATTCTTACATTCATTAATTCAACAAATATTTGTGCAGCTTCCTCCAGTGTGTACCAGGCTCTTTGCAGTTGGTGGCAATACTAGTTTCAAAGTTTGATTCCAGAGTTTACATGGTTGTGTCAGCTGCTTTCTTTAAAAAAAAAAAAATCTCTAAACAAGAGCTTACTATCTTCGGGCATCCTGCTGGGCTCATACATCCAGCCAGTGAGGATTCTCTAACAGTAGGTGTCTTTGAATGCCTGTAGCTTTTGTAACAACAGAGCTTACATAGCATTCCAACTTAGAGACTTCTACTCTTGTGTCTTTGCAAATCCTTATATTGGTGATGCTAGATACTGCTTTTATTACAACTGGCTCACTTTTGAAGCAGTAAGTCATCTCAAAGACCTGACTTCAATGCGTCTCATGTATTTATTTTCTTTTAGTGTTGAAAATGTTATCTTTTTTTCCTCTTGGATTCTTGTATATCAGTATGATAAAACATTACCTTATTAAAAATACTAATATGGGGGCGGGGGGGCTGGGGATATAGCTCAGTTGGTAGAGTCCTTGCTTTGTATGCACAAGGCTCTGGGTTCAGTCCCCAGCACCAAAAAACAAAACAAACAATCAAAATACTAATATGACACTATAAATTGTCAGCATGTTTTTATAAAAGGCCAGAACCCACCAAATGGTGACATTCTTTAATGTTCCCTTAAGACAGGGTTTTTTAAAAAGATGGCTTCTGAATCCTGTCCCCAGTACACTTAGGCTCCTTAGGCCTAGTGAAAGCAAAATAAGTTACTCCATGTACTCAGCTCTACCCAATAGTTGCCGACAGGATTCTATAGAAATGGAATTTTTCTTCATCTCTGCAATGCTGGGTTTCTTAGAACCAAAAATTGTTCCTACCCATTTTTGCACAAAAGTCATCATTTGCCTCTGACCCAGTGGCAGTCCACAGTGTTGTACCTAGCCATCTGCCTGCCCACAGCAGGGCTTGACAGAAGCAGTTTGTAGATGAACCTTATTCTTGGCCCCACATTTATAAACCAATATCTTTTCTTTAGAAAAGATTTTATTTTCCTCTAGAAAAAGTTCTTTAAACTGAGAAAATTTGTTAGTTTTATATATGTAGGAAATTATACGTATTAGAATTCATAGTTTGAATATATTTGAAGTAATTAAAAACACTTATCTACATTTGGTTAGTTGTTTAATGTAAATTAAAATCACAATATGCCATTGTATTTCCATTAGAATGGCTAAAATTGAAAGGACTGATTGTACCAGTTTCAGTGAGGATATGGAGTAATGGGACTTCTCATACACTGCTGGTAAAACTTCAAAATGGCATAACCATTTTAGAAGACGGTTTGGCAGATTTTTATAGAAATTAAAGCATAGATTTGCCATATTATCAGCGACTCGCTTCCTAGCTATTGTGTTGATGAGAAAGCATACGATGAAGGGAAATGAAAACATAAGTCCACATAAAGACTTATAGATGAGTGTTTGTGGCAGCTTTATTTGTAATAGTCAAATAGAAAACAACCTAAATGTCCATCATCAGGTAAGTAGAGAAACTGTGATATGGCCATACAATAAAATGTAGCATCCTGAGTAGCTACAACATGAATGAATCTCAATTATGCTGAGTGAAAGAAGCCACAGTTTAAAAGTTTGTACTCACTCACTGGTTCTACTTATATAAAATTCTAGAAAATGCAACTGATACAGAGTGACAGAAAGGGTATCAGTGGTTGCTTGGAGATAGGATGGGAGGAATTACAGAAAGGTATGAAGAAACTTCTGGGAGTGATAAGTGTTTATTGATTTAATTGTGGTAAAAGTTTTACTGCTATATTTATGTCAAAATAATCAAAGCATTTTGAATATATATGGTTTCTTGCATGTCAGTTATATCTTAATAGAGCTATTAAAAAGGGAAAAAAATTGACATTCTTTCATGTTTCTGTTCAGAGTGTAGCTTCCATTGGCAATACTTTAAACAGTGTCCATCTAGCTATGGAGGCAATACAGAAAACTGTGGATGAACACAAGAAAACCGTGGAATTGCTGCAAAGTGATATGGTAAGGAGATCAGCAGATACTAAAAAAGTCAGCATGCTTCTCACCCTTTTTTGTAAAAGAGTCATGATGCCAACTTTCCACTGATCTGAACAGGCCCTCTACATACTTTTTAAAAATATCTAATAAGCAATATGTGCTGACTGTTCTGCAGTCTGTGAAGTAAGCAGTTAATGAAAATAAAACTGAAAACTGAGTCTTTTGCAAACATGGTGCTGGAGGAGACAGTGAGAAAACACAGTTCCTGAGGATAGAATGGGTAGGGTGGAAAATAGAAAATAAGGAAAAGGATGTGGAAAATTGTCTCAATTTATTGCTATACAACAAACCACCTCAGTTATTATTTCTCATTATTCTGAGCATCAGGAATTTGGGCAGGGCTTTTAAACTCCCAAGCACTGAGAGGCCATCAGAGGATGAAAGGCCATCTTGGATGTTCCAGCTCCAGCCTGGTATCGATGGAATGCAGCTAAATATGTGATCTCAGCCTATACCACATAGAACAGGACCAGCCCTCCTACCTCAGCTGAGCATAGTCACAGAATCATCAGAATAATTGTTGTTTATTGTTATTTTAAGCCACAAAGTTTGGGGATGATTTGTTATACAGCAACAAATAGTTAAGATGGAAGTAAACCCCTACAGTGCCCAGTAATTGTTTTCAACTGTCTCTGGGTCTCCTAATGCTGCTACATGTGTCTGCAATCATTCAGAGACCTAAATTAATCACTTAGGGGTAACAGCTCCAAAAGGGATTTGTGAAGGGTATAAAAGGATGGCACAGCCCTTGCTGTCTTGCTGAAGAGATGAGTTATATGTGTGAAAGCAGGACTAGTCAAAGCACATACACTAATTTCTAGATCTGACCCACGTGCTCTCTACAAACTTCAGAGATCTGAGTTTTAAATTGGGTAGTTTGTACCAAGGGGACCAGAGCTCTATCAGAGAGCTCAGGAGGGAGGATTTTTCATTTTCTTCAAAAACAAAAATTCTTGTTATTTAGTGGGAGCTAACTCAAAGGGAAAAGCATTGATCTAGGCGTCGAGACAATTGACTTCTAGTTGGATCTGCCACTAAGGAACTCTGACCCATAATAATAAAGACCCCTTTCACTCACCAGTTCTTTTATCTTGAGCATGTTTTCAAGTAATTAATCATTTTCTGAAATACTTTTTCCTAATTAAAAAAAATGTCTGCTTTGCTTTCTAGAACTATTGGTTTTCCTTCCTTTTCTCTTTAGTGTTGCTTTTTTTCTTTCTTATAAAACCAGGGTTGATAAATGCCTACATTGTCAGATTTCAAGGAAAACAGTTTACTTTTACCAATTACATTCTGTTGTAAATAAGTCTGCCTCTTTTTAAACTTCCGTGGCTGCCAATAGTAATCCTCCTGCTGACGTACTTTATACTAAGCCATATTATGGGCTGTGAAGGATTAATCTGTGCAGTTTTTCCCACTGATAGGAACAAATGTATATAAGGTTTAGACTGAGTTGGTCACAGGAATGTTCTGGTGATTTTGTAGTTTCTCTGGGAGTATGGTGATGGGGGAGCAGAGAAATGGTTTGTAGGGAGTTCATTCCATTAAGAGACTGAGAAGCAGACTAGGAGGATCTCAGTTTCTTGGGGCAATCTGGGTGCAACTGCTCCAGCCCATGCTTTGGGCTAGACATCCCCAAAAGTCCATGATGCCTTCAAAGCCTAGCACAAGACTAGTCACACTGTATATTCTTAAGGAATGCCTATAGATTAATCTGTGGGTGCACTCTGGGGGAGGCTAGAATGTTACAGGATCTTCCCAGATAGTTAAGTGTTGCCTACACTAAGCTCTGTTTGTGTTGACAGAATCGGCACTTCTCAAATTGGACCAATGGAAGCAACAAAATCATTCCAACACCCTCAGCTACATCAGAACTTGATAATAAAACCCACAGTGAGAATTTGAAACAGGTACTTTTGATCTGTGGCCCACAACGTGTGATGGAAGCCTGAGGAGTTTGGGCCTAGCTCCATGGTGCCTCGGCAGGCACATCAAACCTCTGTCTACTTGCTGGAGAGCAGAGAGGGATGCATGTTGAAATCTTGGGATCCAGAATCCTGCCCTGTCTTTTCTTTGGCACTCTGCTTTTTCCCCTACATGTCAATCAATGGAGTAAATTCCTTTTCACATCTTGAAAGACATAGAATAACCAGATTATCCTGAAACTATGAAAAATAGCAATCTAGGCAAGTCAAAGATGGATGGATAGCAGATTAATCCAGAGTGATGGCTATTTTAAACCACAGTAAATTCTAAGAATGTTAGGAAGCATATCCTTGAAAATCGGGATTTTCTAAAGTCTAAAGACGAAAGGCAAGAGAGGAGAAAAAAGAATATTGAGTTCGGAATCACATTAAAGAGAATAAAGGAAATCTTCACTAAGAAGAATTTCTGTCCTGAGTTTAATGCCCTTTAAAACCTATAGTCATCATTCCTTTTTAAGTAGCAATCAGTTCTAGAGGATGTCAATAAAAATAATTGAATCTTGTACTAAATAATGCACTACTTGTTATGGTTTTGTTACAAGCCAATTCAGTAATTGGTATTGTTCCTAAGGTAGTTTTGTACTGACAAATTAGGTTAATGGAACTTTAAGTTAATAACCCAGCAGGTTTTCCTGCCAGCAGGTGAGGTAAACATTGGGAAATTAATTCTCAAATGCTCTGCTTTCTAGGACCAGAGAGTGAATCATGTAGGTAGTCCTCTTTTCCTTCCCCTCCTGTCAAACTGAGATCAAACAATTCCAGAGGGCGAAAACTAGGAACAATTTAGTGTGGAAGAGACAAAGCAGAAACAGACAATTGGTGGTCACAACCAGGAAAAGGTGTTTACTTCAGTAACTTGACATAATAATGGTTATTTGGTGTTGCTCCTCTGCTTTGCCTAATATTCATCTTTAGCTGGATTCTGCAACTTGCTTTATTTCCACTCCAGGATATCCTGTACCTTCATAACTCTTTAGAGGCGGTAAACAGTACCCTAGTAGCATACCAGAGACAGAATGATCTTAAACTCGAGGGGATGAATGAGACACTCAGTAATCTCATTCAGAGAACCAACCTGATAGAAAGCAATGTGGTTTTTGCTCTGGGTGAAGTAGAAAACACAACAAACCTGACCTCCAGCATGGTAAGCCTTTTCAGATCTTTTGTGACGTGTTTTGTGTTGCACTGTTTTATTTGTACCTAGATGGCATTCCATCACCTTTGAGAACAGTCTTCTGGCATATTTGAAAGGCTGCACATTTGTAATGTGCTTAGTCCATGACTGTGTTAGTCTTTACACTAGGTCTATGATGTGAATGGCACAGCAGTGCTAGACCAGATTTGGAAAAAGAGATGTGGCAGAATCAGGTTGTTTGTCAAGGCCTCACCACAAGTTGTTGGCAGAGATGACAAGTTATTGTTACCAGTGCCCCAATTGGTAGGGAAGTTCTGTCACATACTTCCAAAGGCAATCTTGTTGATCTTTTGTAGAAGTCATTAAAGCAGGAGCAGAGACAGTGACAGTTATGAAAAATCTTCTATTTCTTTTTTTAGAGGGGGTGGGTTTTACTGGGGAGTGAATCCAGGGGTGCTCAACCACTGAGCCAACATCCCCAACCATTTTTTGTATTTTATTTAGAGACAGGGTCTCCCTGAGTTACTTAGGGCCTCATTAAGTTGCTGAGGCTGGCTCTGAACTCGCCATCCTCCTGCCTCAGCCTCCTGAGCCACTGGGATTCCTCCAGGTATGCACCACCACACCTGGCTAGTTCTTTAAGCCTGAATTTGGCTTTCAGAATTATCTTACTTCTCTCTGCATATAATGTCAGGAAATCTATTTAAAATAGATTAGGTCAGATCAACTCAACTTACGAGATGACCGAGTCCAGTACCTCATTTTATATATAAGGAAACCAAGTAACCTACTAAATCACTGATGCCCCCTTACTCTGCAGTTTTCATGTTCTCAATGAATAGAATGTGATTTGTTTTGGTTTTGTTGTTGTTATTGTTGTTTGTTTTGTTTTGTTTTAATTACCTTTTACATACATTGTGTGGGTTCCCTGTAGATTATTTTCTTAACAGCTATAGGCCCTACCCTTAAAAGATTTCATACATATTTTTGTAAAAATATGAAACCAAATACAGGAAACTTACCATAAATTCAAGTAACCACTAAAGCTGGAAGCAAGCCAATACAAAGTCAAACCCTGGCAGATAGCAAGGAGTGTTTGAACTGGCTGTGCCACAGTGGAGCCTTGGCAAGTTGCCTGGATATGGCTTTGAGGGGTAGAATAGGACGACCTGTCCTCCTCCTCCCCTTCCTGCTTTACAGGGGTGTGTAATTTACTACAAAGCTGTGAAGATTAAAGGAGCCCTATTCTTTTAAAGCCCTTTTGAACTCAGCTAATCTAAGTAGGAGCTGAGAACCTTGAATGATTTGATGAATGTTATACCTTGAAGGTTTTCAAGGCTTCTTGTGAAAACTTAACACCCTCAAACTTCCTGAACTGTCTCTGCTTTCCCATTTCATTTTTCTCTAACATAAAAAACTGGTAATAGTATCCATCTGTCTTACTACTTTTTCTAATGGCATCCTACCCAGCCTAGATCTGCATAAAAATTCTGTCACCTTTTATACTTCATAGTTTGTGATTGAAACATCTAGAAGCACCAGTTTCCACTTGGTCTCTCTGTAACCTTCCTCCCTCACTCTTCCCATTCTGCCACTCCTCTGCCATTTCTCTTGAAAGTGTTCAGACTCTTTAAGTGAGTTTGACCATTTTTTTAAAAAAATACTAGATGTCATTCAGATTTTTTAATGTTTATTTATCTTTAATCTTTCCTCTTATTCTTTTTGCCCTCTAAGATGAGTGATAGAGCTGCTATTCTGAAAAGAGAGTCTTTGGATCAAGGGGCCAACAGAACTGATATCATAAAAACCCAAAACATAAAGGTAAATAAGAGGAAGTTTAACCTAAAGTAAAAATAAATGCATCAGCATCTCTCTGCTTGTGACATGCTACTTTCTTCTTAAAAAGAGCACTTTGGTCTCACATGCTAAAACCTCAAGACAAAGCAATTAGTAAATTAGTATATTAGTGAATAAATGAATATCAGGTACGTATCTTGTGTCAAGCTGGGAGGGCCATGGTGAGCAGGATAGACATGTGATCCTTATTCTGGTGAAGCTCAAAGTCCATCAGTCAAAAAATCTGACGCAGAAGTACATAGATAACTAATCATAAGTCTGATGAATGCTATAAAGGAAATATATAGGGTATGTTGAGGGGAATCAGGAAGGCTTCCCTAGGGAAATGACTTAAAACATTTGCTTACTTATGATGGAGGACAAAGGTATAGATCATCTAAAAATGGTGTCCAGCCTCAAAATCATTTCCTGCAGTCTTAATACGGACATTAATTCACTTAAGTGTCAGTCAGTTCCCTTTACCTGTACTTTCTCTTTTTTGTTCTACCCAAACATATTGTAACTATTAGGGTAGCGATAGAAGAGAGAAAAATACATATTGAATAAAAGAAATGTGAGATGAATTGATGTTCTAATACCCATGAGATCAGACCTTTCTATAGTAGCATAAGCAGTTAGAAACTGGCCTTATAGAAGGCAGACTTTTCTCTTTATAATTAAATTTATTTTTATGTGCCAATCTGGATCTTCCTAGGAATAAAACAAAGTGTAGGGTGACAACTTTTTAAAAGATTTAAACAAATAAGACTTTGAATTAAAACTATTACAGCTCCTTTATGTTTCTGACAGTTGTTGCCATCCATTGTCCATCACCATAGGGGAACAGAGGGAAGTATAGAAGAATACTTGTGGTTTGTTTGTGTTCAGCTGTTTTTTGTTATTTTTTCTTATTTGGTTTTGGGGGGTTTTTTAGGGTGGTACCGGCATAAAGCTCTACCTCAAGAGGTCTGGTCACAAGGCAATGTGAGATATTTAGGACAGTTATTTCCTTCGTGTGATATAGCTCCTAAAAAAAAATACCCTCCTCATTTAGGAAATGGGTGTTATACAGGTACCTGAGCAAGGGTACATTTTCTTTCTTGCTGATCATGCATGCCTTCTCCCATCAGCCAAATGTTCACAGCAAATCAGATCATCTGGAGCATAATGTTGCCTTAATGGTCTAGCCTCAAATCCAGCTAGACACACATCAACACTGAACAACAAAGATATCCCTGGTATTTGTTAATTCATTCCTTCAATGCCTTTAGAGGGAACTTTCTCAGGGTCAGGTAAATAGTGGAGACTCAGGTGAGATCTTACTTCTACCTTAAACCTTCTTTGATCTTTGTTTTGAGCAGAAGGAAGATAGTCCAAATTCTCAGGTATCCAAGCTGCGAGAGAAACTGCAGCTGATCAGTGCTCTCACAAACAAACCTGAGAGCAACAGGCCTCCAGAGATTGCAGACGAAGGTGAGCACTGGGCTGGCTTGTGAATATTTCACGCAGGCTTGGGCAACTTGCTCCCACACAGGGAGTGGGAAAGGTGTTTCAGCAGCACTGATCGAACCGAGTGAGTGATGCCTGAGCGCACTGAGATGAAGCTGATGCACTTTGCTTTCATTTAGAAAAAGCCCATTTTGTACATGATTTGTACTCTGGTCTATTAAGGGAAGAATGGGTAATGTTTAGCTGGAAATAGACTTCTCCATGCTGTCTGCATCCAATTATAGGCAAAAATGTTACTGTCATAACATATTAAACCAGCCCTAAATGTTGTTTATGGGATTCTTCATTTCTGTATACAATTTACTTAAAAATAAATTTTAGTCTTTCTGTAAATCATTAACATATAATGGTAGGATTATTGGTTTAGAAGGGTGCTTGACTTTGGGTAGAGACATAACTAATTAATATTAGTAGATGCATTTACCTCCATTATGGACATAACAAAGGCACTAGACTGTGTTGGCTTTGACCCCTCCTCCAACAATTATTATTCAGTTTGAAAAAGCAATATAGCCTCCCTTGAATTCTTTTGGTTGGGAAACAAACTACAATGGGAGGCCTTGTCCTAACATTTGGTGCTGTATAATCTTATGGTGACCCTCTTTTAGCACCAACTTACTTGTAGCATGTATTCCCAGACCAGGCTTATGCACATCTCCCAGGATGTTAAAGATCTTTAATATCCAGCTTCTATGCTGTTGTCACTTGGCTGCTTAAACTCCTACCATCTACATATGTATAATGCTAACTTGTACTATGGTTGGAGTATCTCTTATCCAATGTTTGAGACTGGAATTATTTCAGATTTTCAGATTTTGTAATATATATATTTTGGGATATGGGTAGACAAGTCTCAACATGAAACTTATTTATGTTTCATATACACCTTATATACATAGTCAGATAGTTGTTGTTGGGGGGAACTTTTTTTTCCTATTGTTTTGTTTTTTGCAGTTCTGGGGCTTGAACTGAGGACCTCACACATGCTAGGCAGGCACTGTGCACCGAGTTACATCCCCAGCCCCTGATAGTAATCTTTTTTTTTTTTTTAATTTTTTATTGTTGGTTGTTCAAAACATTACAAATTTCTTGATATATCATATTTCACACTTTGATTCAAGTGGGTTATGAACTCCCATTTTTACCCCATATACAGATTGCAGAATCACATCAGTTACACATCCATTGATTTACATATCCCTGATAGTAATCTTATGCGGTATTTTTATGCACCTTTTTTGGGGGGTTGGGGGGACTGGGGATTGAACCCAAGGGCACTTAACTACTGAGCCACATCCCCAGCCCTTTTATATTTTATTTAGAGATAGAGTCTCACTAAGTTGCTTAGGGCCTCGCTAAATTACTGAGGCTCAAGATCCTCCTGGTTCAGCCTCCTGAACCACTGGAATTACAGGCATGTGCCATGGTGCCCAGCCCACCTTCATTTTGACTGTGACCCATTACAGGATGTCACATGTGGAATTTTCCACTGGTGTCATGTTGGCACTCAAAAAGTTTCAGATTTTGGAGCATTTCAAACTTTTTAATTAGGAATTTTCAACCTGTATCCCATATTCCAGCAGGACTTCTACTTGAAAACTTAATGTAATGTAATCTTGATTCATCTTCACTTGTCCATATACATCTCAATCCAAGTCTTTAACTTCACATATCACTGTGCTTCTTAATTCTCAACTATTTCTCTTAAATTAAGTACATATCAATTGCCCTAAAAGGTGACCTTTAATACTAGTTTAATTGGGTGTTAATTTGATTATATTAAAGCATACATGTTTGTTACAGAACAAGTACAGAGTTTCACATCAAAGCCATCAACATTGCCAAAATTCTCACAATTTCTTGGAGACCAAATTGAGAAAGCTGCCCAACTAAGGCCCGTCTCCCTACCAGGAATTTCTAGCATTGAAGGTAAATTTTTATACTTTGGTATAATTGTGGGAATGTTTAAAGTAATAACTTTTTAATGATTTTTTTAACTTATGAAAAAAATACATCTAATATTTATTGAGTACTTCCTGTGGACATTTGATATGTATCATCTCATATAATCCTGATGTCTCTCCTATGAACATAAGTATTCATGCATTACGCCTATTTTACTGATAGGGAAACTGTCTTAACTCTGAGCAGCAAATAATTGGTTAAGGCAGAATTCAAGCTGAGACTGTATGACACCAAAGCTTGCATTCCTAACCAGTATACCATCGGGTTTCCCTATTAATGTTTCATATGAGCTTCATTCATTCACTAAGTGCCTCATTAGACCACATACTTAGCAGTGAGGATACAGTATAAGATGCAGTCTCACTTTCTTTCCTCAGAGATACTATAGTATAGTGTAGAGGGCAGAAAAGCAAATACAATAATGTGAAAGTAGTAAAATAAAGTAAAAATTGACCCAGTTTTTCAGGGCCCTCCAAAAATGAGGGGACTTTTTCTGAATATAATAAAATAAACAATAGGAAGTATGATTCACATAAAAATATATTTGCATTATTTCCAATAGTGTGTTCTACTCATTGTGATGTTAAGACCTTTTTGCATTTGCTAATTCCCTGGAAAATCACTCATTCCTTCCACCTCCCTTTCTCTTGCTCTTTACTTTAGCTTAGCTGCCATTCCACTGGGAAATATTAACTCCTAGGACTGGAGTAACCTCCTCCTGTATGCTGCTATTTGAATTTGCCCATGTTTAGCACATGTCACTCTTGTGATTTCCTGAGGTCATATAAAATGTAATTTACATGGACAATGTCCATGTCTTATTCACAGTCTTATTCATTCCCTAATCTCTAGCACAATTCCTAGTACACACAAATATGTTAAACAAATTAATATGTTACCTACACACTGCAATTAATACTTAAAGCATAGATAACTTAGATTTAAATCTCCATTTAAATGTTATCACTTTGTTTTTTCCTATCCCTGATTTTTGTCCTATTTTGGTGTGAGAGATGGAGAGTGTGACATTGAAGGGCAACATAAGTTGTATCCCCACTCTCCTATATCAAGAATTGATGAGTATGAATCGGGGAAAGACTGGCTGTTCAATCAGATTAAGGAATAGCAGTCTGAACATTTGTACTTCAGTCTTTAACATAGGCCTGAGACACTTTTGAAATGACACAAAGCAGCAATCATTTTTATTTGAGTTCTGCTACAAAATACATAGCATGTTATATAAACTCATAGTACCAAAAAAAAAAAAAAATTTGTTTTTTCTTCTAGCCACTTGGTGGCAGGCATGAGGAAGAAGTGTTCCACTTGATTTTCTGGTTTTCAGAGAGCTTTTGTGGTTTTACTAGCTGCATTACTGGTCCTATGACAGGAGAATAGGGTCCTGTTTAGAAGTTGTTTACAAGAACTCATTTTTGGACTGGATTTGCACTGCAATGGTTTTCCCTCCCTTTGGGACATTTTCATTCTTTCCAGGTACCAAACAGCAAAAGGCTCGTTGAATGTAAATATAGTCTTAAATAAATGAAGAAAAAAAAAGAATTTAGGAAGATTTTTAAAGAAATATAAGCCATATTGACCTTCTTTAGTGTTAGAAATTAAATCTTCTATTTGACTGTGAGGACAAAATGAAGTCCTTTTGTTAGACTATTGATAGAAATTCTCCAATCCTATTCACTGAAATAGTGTCTTAAGAATTGAATTTAAAAAATGCAGATCATCTGGTGGCATTGCTCTGTTTTTTAGCTACCAGAAAGAAAATTGGGAGTGCGGGGGGCAGTGGAGAAAGACAATGCTTTGAAAAGACACCGTCTTTTGGGATAGGGCTGTAGCTCAGTGGCAGTGCCTAGCATGTGTGAGGCACTGGGTTTGATCCTTAGCACCACATAAAAAATGAAATAAATAAAGGCATACTGTCCATTTACAACTACAGAAAAAACTTTTTTAAGGAAAGATAGTCTTTAAAGACTATATATATAGAGAGAGAGAGGATGGGGGGAGTGTGTATGTGTGTGCATGTGTGCATGTGTGTGTGTCTTCTGGGGTTTTTTGTTGATTAGTGTTTGAATTGTTTCCACATTGGAACTATTGGGAATAATACTATTATGAATATTAGTGTGCAGGGTCTTGTAGATGTTTTTTCATCCCCCTTGAGTATATGCCTAAGAATGGAATTGCTGGTCATTGCTAACTTTTTGAAGAACTGCCAAACTATTTTCCAAAGTATCTGCACCATTTTACATTTTCGTCAGCAATATATAAGGATTTAATTCACTTTTCCATATACTCGCCAACACTTTTTGATGACAACCATCCTAGTGATTGTGAAATGGTATCTCATTGTATTCTTGAGTCCCTGGATCTTAAGCTGCTCAATTTATGGATCCAAAGAGACAGTGTTCCATAGATAGTAAGAAAACTAGTCTATATCTAGCCATGTAAGAGTTATATGACCTTAGGCAAGTTGCTTTCCTTTATGAGCTTTGGTTTTCCTATCAAAACTGAGAGAACTAATTGTAATGCATTCTGCTGTCATATATAAATAAAAAAATTTACATTAAAAAAACAGAGAACTTTGAATTTTTGACATTTTTACTGCTTATGGATATCCAAGACATTCCTCCAGTCCCCACTCAGACATTCAATGAGAAATATTACAATATATCATACTCTGTTTTATAGACTAATTCCTATCTATCAAACAGGCCTCTATTTCTTCAACATAGATTAAAATCTGGGAAATTGAAAGGGAAGGCCATGGACAGAGAGAAAGTCAGGTCATGCATTTCTCCCACTGCTTGTATTTTGTAATATTCCTTTCATTCTTAAAGGATCAAAAATTAGTCTGATTTAGTGAAATCCTAAATGTTACCCTCTGGAAACAAATCTGCAAAGTAGCTTTCTTTTCAATATTGTAAGAGCCTACTTTTAACTGAATTTCTATATAATAGATATATACATTTTTCATAATTCCTTTTTGACAGATCTTCAGGATTTATTCCACAAGACTGGCCAGGATGTGGATGGGAAGCTGACCTACCAGGAAATCTGGAACTCTCTAGGTTCTACCTTGCCAGATCCAGAGAGCTTGAGAGCATTTGATTCCAATGGAGATGGAAGATACTCATTCCTGGAGCTAAGAGTAGCTTTAGGTGTCTAGCCTCAACAGGCGTTATTTTAGGAATGGATGTATACCATGGACTACCTAAAATCTACTTACATAACAAAAACAACCCTTTTATGCATCAGCCCTCTAGTCCTCCAAACTATTGTAGCAAACATATTGCCACCTTCTAACTTGTTTGAAAAGCTATACAAAAGTTATTTTTTTAAAAAAGAAAACCATTTTACTTATAATCTGATGTTCAAAAATCTATAATTTCCTGAAACCAGTGATATCTTACATTTTAAAATTGCCAGGAAAAGAAATAATAAAGCCCTCTTTTTTTCTCCTTCCTTTTTTTTGAGGGGAGGAGACCTTAACTTTTAAAACTGGAAAATGTATATACAGAGAGAATAAGCCACCTTTTATATTTCATATAAATTTGCCTTAATAGCTGCACTTTATAGAGACTCAGAAAATGTCTTGTCTTCAAAAGATAGGCCTTTTCTGTTTGTAAATATTTAAAATGAAAGAAAAATTGTGCATATTGTGTGGAAAGTAGAAAGAATGATTTTGAGCAGGATGTGAACAAATTACTTATTTAAAAAAATCATTTATTTGGGTAACAACTGAAACTATATTCACATATACTTAACTCATCCCTCCTCCAAGGCCAAGGTGCTGCCATGGGGTTTAGATAGGGGCATTGATTCAGGGACTGGATGCTGTGGGAACAGTGCCAGCTCCATACTTAAAAAAGTTGGCTTCTGAGAGTTTATTCCTATTCCCTCAATGAATCCCAACATGTGAACCAGAGAAGTCTTCTTGAGGATTTTTCTCATTTTTAATCCTCTTATAGGGTTTAGGAACACAAAAAGTTATCCAGTGGGGAGGAGCTACATTTTCCCTCAAGTGAGTTAGATTATCTTCCCCTATCCACCTACACAAGTCTATCTAAAGGCTATAGCTGGCTCCTACCTTCAGTAACGTCTCCATTCTGAATGGCAAAACCCAAGTCCCTAGTCACTGTCTCAGACTAGCCACCCAGGGTATTAAAGGAAAAGGGTACATCTACTTTTAAAACAAGAAACTACCCCTTTGAGATTTTTCCTGGGAGCTAACCAAGAACCTGATGGATTTCTTGGTGAGATGACTAGGACCAAAAATAGTTGTGAAATGAAATGTGTGAAATCATATTGTTTTCTTACAGATATCAGCTCAGAAGTAGATACAGGCTTTCTGTCCAGAGGATGCCAAACTATAGTTGGCACTACAACAGAAGCCTTCATATGATGGTAGCAAGTGCAGTACTTCTCCCTTATGGACCTGGCACAGCAGGTCCCGGAACTGGAAGGAATGGTCTAAGTCACTTGTATGTTGAGTTACACTTGCTGTGTTGTTCCCAAAGGCAATCTTTGGGTAGCACAAAAGGAAAACTTACAAAACTTAACTTTGCTGTAGTCAAGTGAGGGAGAAACTAGAGAAGCTCCCATGGCACCAACTTCTCTAATAGAGTTCATTTTTCATTTAACTTGTCCAAGACCTGTAAGCCAGTGCAGTCCAGTACCCTGAAACATGTAAAGACTGGTTTTTTTCTTTACATTACATTCAGCTTGGTGTTAGCTAACCTTAAATTTTTTTGTAGAAGTATTAAAATTCAGTTAAAGCAGGACAACGTCTCTTCTAATGAATGTGTCTGCTTGTCATTATTGCTTATGTTTCTCCCTTTTAAAATGTTTTTCTTTAACATTTCCCTTACCCATCTATGTTATTTCACTTTCATGGAAAAGTTAAAATTAGCCTGGCACTTTAGGAAACTTGATAATTTTTTGCTCTTCTGGCTGCTTTCCATGCCCTCCTCCTTTTTAATATATACACCCTTACAGATTTTGTAACAACCAAATAAAGTTCTAGCAATAAATTGAATTATACTGCTATGTTTGTATATATTGTACCATAAATAGTATGTCTGTACCTGGAAGGTATTTTTTTGATAACTGATTTATATGAAATATACTTGAGGGTAATGTACCTTGTCCTTTTTAGTTTCAAGTTCTTATTCATAGGCAGATACATTCAGGACACCTTAACTCTTTGTAGTATGTATTTTTCTTTTACATCCAATAGCTATATCCGTGGAAAACTCAAGGTTTCTTTTTTTTTCAATTTCTCTTCTGTTCTTCCTACTTCAAGCTTGTCTGCCAGCATCACCCCTGAGCTGTATATAATGCCAACCCCTCCCCTGCCAAGTCTGCCAGAGGCATCCATGCTGCACTCAGGCCTATGATACCTTTGTCATCCTGCCTGAGTAACTACCATGTCTCCCAGACAGGTAGGTATCTCAACTTCCTTTGTTCAAGTTGAGCAGACTCTCCAGTTTACAAGCCCCAGAAACCTATCACTTAGTGTTAATTTGGGATTTATATCTGTATGCTGTCCCCACTTACCCAGCCTGTGCCTTGTGTTTGGCTATAGTGAAGCCTCACCTGCCACATTTTCAGCTCTGTGAGAAAGCTTGGGAAGTGAATGGTATGAGTTTGACATTCATTGTAAATTCTTTTACCTGTTCCTTCTGGCAGCTCCTACCACTTCTCTCCTTAGTTTCCCAAAGCACAACCTTCTTGACCCTTTTATTCCATTGCCTTATATATATATCGGCATAATGTTTACTTAAATAGCCTCCCCATAAGTCAGAGAGGCAAACAGGTACTGTAGAAAGAGAAGACCCAAAGGAATAAAGTGCCTGGCTTCAAGATGACTGCAGAGTACCTAGCACTCAGGAATGGGTCTGAGGCAACAAAGCTGAGGAATGGACCCTTCCCCTGCTGTTGGCTGTTTTGCATTCTGCTGCAGTTTCCTTTCTTTGCAGTTACTGGACATAACCCCTAGAGCCCCCCTTGCTGGTCTTCTGGTCACAGTTGAGGATTTTGACTATGATGGGCTCATACTCGTAATGGCCTGTTGTTTTTAGTGACAGCTTTTGTTTGCTGCACACCTCATTGGCTTGCTTACCAACACCAACTAGATGTGGTTTCTTTCATAACCAAACCAGAACACATTTGGGTATCCTGAGACTTTATAGAGCGTGTATTGTTTGTTATATGAACCTAACCTACCTTTTTTCACATATTAAGAAATGCAAATCTACTTTGTTCTAGTGGAGCTATTTTGGTAACATATAAGCAATTTTGGTTCTGTTTAGGGAGTGAATTCAAGGTTTTCATGACTCAATTTGAGCTTTATTTCATATCAGTGATACAGCCATTTTAATTTATCTAAATAAAACATTTCTTTTTTTTTCTCTCACTGTGTCTTATTAAAGCCTCCTCCCACTCCTTTGGTTCTTAAGAGAAAGAAAATATGCTTTGATCCCTATGTTTAATGGATTCCTTCCTCCTTTGAAAGCAAGGGCTAACAGAGGTGGGCACAAAGCAAGTGTTCTAGAATCTACCTTCAGAATTAAAATATTGGGCCTAGAGAAGTGAAGACTGTAGGTCTTGGGCTTTAGGCATCTGCAGGGTTGAAGGGGGCAAGGTGAAGAGGGGGCAAGTTGAGGGAGGAGTGAACCTCTGCCCCTGTTCTACCAGAGAAGATCCACTTGGTCCTGTTTTATATTTTGAGATACAATATTAGATCATGTTTACAGGGGGGGGGGGTTCCACTTACCTTTAAAAAAAAAAAGTTAAAAAGGCTTAAATCCATTGCTAGAGAGAGGTCATATAGATAGGACTAAGGCTTTACAGTTGCTGGACCTAATCCTTCAGCCCACACACAAGAAAAAAATTAACTACATGTTTACTAAGTTCTGAGAATCACAATCTCTCTCTCTCTCTCTCTCTCTCTCTCTCTCTCTCTCTCTCTCTCTCACACACACACACACACACACACACACACACACACACCCCACTCCACAAAATAGGCAAAAACTGGCCCTACCTCAGGGCAGTCTACATTTAAAGTTTAGATCAAATATGGTGAGTGGGTTTGCTCATTTCCAAGTAAGTGCAGAAAATTTCTGTGACAGAACCAGGCTTTCATATCTTCAAGTTGGGGTCAAATAGCTCATAATTATCTCTGTGTCTCCTTTTAGGACCATTTCTAGAAAGTATAAAAATTATTAATATTCCCATGTAAATAGAGCAATAAGGGACTCTTAACTTTTGGGCAACCATGGATTTCTTAAGATACAGGATATGGATATTTTTATGTGTATAATTTTAGGAGGTACTCACCAGCCCTTCCTCTAAGCCACTTTGTAGACCAAGTTGATGACACTCTACACACACTAAAGCATTCACCAAATGTGTTTTAACAAGACATGATTAAGGAAGGGATACCATGGGGTAAGGTGGAAAGACCAAGAACTTTAATGTTAGGCAGATGTAAATTGGGAAACTAGCTCAGCAACAAAAAGAAAAGATAATAATATATGCCCTTGGACCTTGTCTTTTCATCAGTAAGAGAAGAATCATAACAGCCATTTTGCAGTGTTCCTGTATTAGAAAGTGGCATCGCCACTGTGGACTGCCATAGCTGTGTGCCCTCAGCACCTGTCACTCTGTGGCAATTGTACTTCCCATCCTGCAGAACAGCAATGCCTTTGGAGACCTAGCCCGGGGGCTTGCACACAATAAATACTGGATGGAGGGATTTGAGCTCATCTGCAAGTATTGGTTCAATGTGTCTCTTCAAAGCCAACCTCCAATTCTCATTGTATTGGTGAGACTTGTGCCCCCATCAAACAGGGGAAGGATACTGTCCTCCTAAGGCAAATGAGACACAAAAGAGTAACTTTTCAAAAATCTTTAATAATGTAACATCTAAATGGCCTCTGATCTCTGTGTCAATATTACTTTCCTGAGGTTAGCTCCCTTTTCTAATACCCCTGGCACCTAAAGCTCCCACCTTCAGTGAGGAGGCTATACCTCTGAAGCAAAAGGCTTTGCATTGAAACAGTTCACCCCATGGGTCAGTGTGGGAAGGGAATAGAAGTGGACATTACTTTTGATACAGATGGCAAATGAGTAGCAGGCAGAGTGGTTCAGCATTGGAGGTTGATTGCGAAGGGGTGGGGCAAAGGGTATCTCCTAAAACATAATTGGGAATGGAGATCTGGTCCTGTGCTATGCCATCCAGTTAGAAAGAGGCTGCTGTGGGACCACCAGATCAGGTTGCAGGGGAACAGAGGCCTCTGCCTTGGGGCTGCTGCCTCTGTTGGCATAATGCCTGCCTTCAGGGGTGTCTGACCCCCACAGAGAATCTGGAATCTCAACTTTAATCTCAGTTTTGGTAACAGCCCAGGGAGGGCCTGTGTTGATAGCTGCATTCATGCCATATTGGCATCGCTTGTTTATCTAGTACAGGAGTGGGCTGTAAGTGCCCACTGCTGGGCACGCTCCTCCTGCTGGAGGTTCTTCTTCCAGTGCAGAAAGAGAATGCAGCCGCCAGTTATAATAGAGCATAGCCCCAGAAATCCAAAGTACAACGTGACCCACACTGAGGCAGTTAAAAAGGGGGGGGGGGGCAGGGTGACTGACTGCTCTAGCTTGGGACCTGAACTGTTTCTCATTCCTCGCCTTGAATTGGTTCATTCATCCATTTATTCCTTCCCTCCCTCCTCAAAGATATGCCTCATCATTTTCTTATTCAGTCAAAGCTAGATTTGCAGGGAGTCTAAGAGGCCACTTTAGCCTTTTACAGATAAGGAACACTAGGTCTAGAGAGGACATGACCTTCCCAGACTCAGTCAGGCCTTCTGGCTCCCAATCCAGGACCCAACCAATCCATCAGATTGAGAACCCTCACTAAGGACAAGGCCCTCGTGGAAGTAAAAGTTCATCACTTGACAAGGACACCAATGTATCTTTTCTAGTTGGGCAGAACATGGTCTCTGCCTTCTAGGAATCCTTACTTTCCTAGAGGAGTCTATCTCTTAACTATTTAGCACTCCATAGAGGCAGCCACCACTCCATTCATGCAAAGGGAAAGTTTGTCCCCCACACTCAAAGGACTGGAGAGGTACTTACTGCCAGCAAGGCCCATATCCTTCTTTTCGTAATCCATAAGGTTGAGTCTTGTTACCAGGCCTATGGCTCTGGAAAGAATGAACTCACCCACTAACCTATCCACCAATGGGAGTCTCAGAAGGCTCAAGCCCCATTGTTCCCTAAAGAAGTCATCACCAGGTTCTGAACACTGGGAATTCCAGGGGTGGTGCTTGTGGAGGGGTTCTGAGTTGATGGGAGGAAGGGACTCCATCTGGTGGCATCTCATGAGCATAGTTGTCTTCCATCAAAGACTGGTCCACCACAGAATTATCTGTTCCCAACTTCTTATGGTGAACTCACAGAACAGCCCCCAGGAAAGGGCCCTCACACGCTCAGGAGCTTATTTTTATGTTGTCAGTTATTAGGGAGCCATTTCTGGATATCTTTTCCAGTGGTGAGTGGGGCAGATAGCACAATGAACATTGGGCAGCCCTGCCCTTAAGAAGTTTCTGACCAAGTTGTCAAAGGAAAAAATAATAATAAAACACTGCTCAGGGGAACCAAGTGGTCCAAACCTCATTGTTTGGCTCTTGTAATCTCTCTTTTGTTTCTTCAACAAGTGCTGGCAAAGTATTTCCTGGGCATCAACTGGGCCTGTGGGAGCTCTGCCCATGTGATCTTGCATCTCTTTCCAGCTTCATCTCCCTCTCCATCTTTCATATACCTCTCCCTTCCAGTCATGCCAGGTTCCTCAAAGACCCTGTTTATTTACCTTGGGAGTTTAGCTCACGTGGCTCCTTCACTCGGGAGTGCCTTTTCCCACATTTCCACTAAACATCTCCTTATCCTCCCAGGTAGTCAACTCCCCTACTCTTGAGGCAAACAGTCCTTTCAGTTTGATTTCCCAGAACCACATCTTCTCCAGTTTGAAGAGACTTGGAGCATTGTCTAATCCAACTTCCATCAGATACTCGAGTACTGAGGACAGAACTTCCCTAACTCAGCAACTAATCCCCCAGAGTTCTTTTGACTCAGGAACTTGCTTACCATCTCCTGAGGCAGCTTGCTTCATTTATGACCAGCTCAGTTAGAAAGCCATTTCCTAATCAAGCCTAGGTCAGCTTCCCAATAGGTTGTTCTGGCTCGGCTCCTTGGCACCATTTAGTTACTTCCAACTTTAACAGTAGCCAGAATGATCCTTTTAAGAATAGATCATGTTACTCTGCTCAAATACACAGTGAATTCCCATCTCACTCAGATTTAAAACCACAATCCTTGACCAAGTCCTCCAAATCCCTGAGCAATCTAACCAACCACTCCCATACCTCCTTAGACTCATTTTTACTGGGGTCCCCTTCACTCATTCACATAGAAAACCTCCTTGTTGTTCCACAAGCAGGGGACATATGCTCCTGCTTCAGGGTATTTGCCCTTGCTATTCCCTCTTCCTGGAAAGCTGTTCTGTCAGATATCCATAGAGATCATTCCCTCCTTTCCTTTGTTTCTGCTTGGGTGTCCCCCTTATCTCCATTTCTCTTAAACTGCTTTGTTTTTCAGCATAGCACATATCATTACCTAACATTTATTTATTGTCTGTCTCACTCCCCTGGAATGTAAGCACCTCAAGTTAATGTAAACAAGAATCTAAGAATTTCAGATGGTGATAACTGCTATGAAGAGAATAAAGTTGGGTAAAATAAGAGGGCAAAATAAGGTTAAAAAAAAAAAGAAGAGAAGATTCATCAATAAAGGTTCCTTTGAGGTGCTGACATGGAAACTAAGCCCTAGATGATAATGAGGCAGCAAGTGTGGATCTATGCAGAGAGAACAAGTGCAATGATCCTGAGCCAGTAACAACATAGTACCTAGATGTACTTACTAATCCTCTACTACATTGCTCCTAGCATACAGCAGGGCGGATCTTCATACATATAGGTTCAACTGAGCAGAGTTTGAGGCTCCATCTCTGCCTCAGGAGAGGTTTCAGTCAGATAAGACCTAGGCAAGACTTCCACACAATGCAAACCAAAGACTGCTTGACAGAGAGTCCATTCATGCTGGGAGCAGGTGAGACAGATTTGGCTGTAACTGTCCCTGACCTTAAGAGTTCACACTTGGTTCCAGAGGTGAAAAAGATAGTGGCATCTGGGTTGAGGAAGAATGCATTCCAGGATCCAAAAAGAGCCTAAAGACTTTTCAAAGTCAATTCCTGATGACTCTGGGAAGTAGTTCAGTTTGGCTGGCGCTGCAATTAGGAAACAAGGCTTTGGAAGCAGCTGTCATATTGAAAAGGTCATCTCTCGGGTAAAACTTGGAGAAGTTAATATTAGACCCTCAGCCTCAGTTTCCTCGTCTGTAAAATGAAAATAATGCCTGCCTCAAAGGATATGAATCAGATAAAGTTTACTACACCTAGAAGCCTTAGTAAAGAGAAGCAGCAGCTGTGAAGAGGATTGGAGAAACAACCTTTGAAGCTTGCTAAAGGAGTGCCAAGTGAATTTTAAAAGGAGCAAGCTCCGTGAGGACCCTAAGGCTCCACCAGCTCCCCAGAGGACGACTGGCGCGCAGAGACTGCTGGTCTCGAAAGGGAGGGCGTGAGTCCTGGTCGGCTCCCGGGAGGAGGCGGGCCGAGGCACACGCAGGGCGGACAGGCAGGGCTGGAGCGGCGAGCCCCCCGTCCCCAACTCTTTACCCTCTTCCCCGTTTCGCCTAGCGTATCTCCTGAACCCGGAACCTGGGGCGCGCGGAACCACCTTGGTGTAGCGCGAGCGCCGCAGACCCGGAGGACGATGGAGGGGACGCGCGGGCCGGGGGCCGACTCTCCTGAAGAGGAGGAGATGGGGTCGGCCATGGCGGCTATGGTGATGGCTGCTGGTGGCGCGGGCCCAGCTGTCCTGCAGGTGGCCGGGCTCTACCGAGGCCTGTGCACGGTGCGGAGCCGCGCCCTGAGCCTTGGGTTCGTTTCACCCTCACAGCTGCGCGCTTTCCCTATGCGCCTCGGCTCAGGCCGGCCTTCTGGGGGCGCGGAGGGCAGTGAGGTCGGGGCCGAGCTCGAGGCCAACCCCTTCTACGACCGCTACCGAGACAAGATTCAGCAGCTGCGCAGGTGCGCCCCGGCCGGCTAGCGAGGGGGGGGGATGGGGGGTGCTGGTAATTGGCCGTGGCCGGAGATTCCGCGCGTGGTGGGCACTAGTGCAGTCCCCACTGTGAAGATAGTGTATCGAGGGTTGGAGAGACTAGAGCACTGGCCTAAGATCTCACAGCTATTTAGTTTCTGAAAAGCCCTGGCTCTTTCCACAGTTGTCTTTATTTTTAGTTGTCAGAACGCTAAGGGGGACTTTTTGACAACCCTGTGAGTCAGATGAGAGAGATCTATTTTCATTGTAGAAATGGGAAAATGAAGCCTTCCAGAGAAGGGACTTTTTTTGCTCAAGGTCACATATTGAGTCAGCAGAGGCCTGGCCCAAAGTTTGGATTCCCAGGCTCCTCATTTAGGGCCCTAAACTGCATGGGAAGGAGGTTATGGGAGGGAGAAGTGCCACAAAGACCAGTGTTGTCACAGTTGTTTCATCTGTCAAACTCTCTCATGTTAAGGAAACTGAAGACCAGAGAGAGGAAGAAACTTACCAAAGGCTACCCAGCTGGTTGGAATTTGACTGAATCCAGGGTTCCCAACACTTTTATAGGGAAGGACCTAGAGATTAGAAGGGATTTGGGAAGCTAAGGAGCACAGAAGAGCCTGAAGAATTTGAAAGAAAGAGCCAGCTGAAAGAGACCAAAGGTGGAAAGACTTAGGAGAGACTTTGGCAGAGTAGTTTCCAACTCAGTCCATCTTGTTATGGCAGCCAAGCCAGGAAGCCTGCCTGGATCCCAGCTACCTGCATTTCACCACCTGCCTGCATAGGAAATAGGCAAACAATAGAAAAAGAAATTTTATGTAGTTTGTTTAAACCAGGGAAAAGTAGCTAGATTGCTTTCCACTGGTTCCACAGAAGCAGTTGCATTTGTAGAAACAAAAGCCTGGTGGTATAATATGTAGATTAATCTGTGCTTAGCCAGAGTATATGTCAGTCTTCCTTAGCCTCTGCCCTCAAGCATGAGGAGATTCAGGATGCAGAAAAGCAATGATCAGGAAGTTGCTTTTAATTTCAAAGGGGGTCTGTTTCGATCTCACTGCTATTATCTTGATCTTTCTCGATTTTTGAAACAACAATGGAATAAATGAATGGAGTGATTTTGCCCTCTGCATTTAGATATTTTCAAGTATTTGTCATTTCAGAAACTTTTCCCTGACCTACATTCCTTTCCAATTTTTTCTTTTATCCCTTAATGCACAAGCATCTGAAGAGTTGTCCACTCACATTCAGATGATACAAGCCTAACATCTCCCATTCATTCTTTTTTTTTTAAGTTTGTTCTTTTTGTTGTCGATGGACCTTTGTTTTATTCATTTATATGTGATGCTAAGAATTGAACCCAGTGCCTCACTCATGCTAGGCAAGCACTCTGACACTGAGCTACAACCCCAGCCCACAGCTCCCACTCATTCTGAACTCATGAACAAATAATGGTTTTGCTCTCCTTCCCTACCAGATCATTCCATCAACATTTACACAGACTGTTATTTCCTGAAGAGTAAGCTTTCCAAGGTGCCACACTGACTTCACACCCTAATATCTGTTGTTCTCTTTAGCCTTATTTATTACCTAAAATTCCTTTGAGTACTATGGTCTAGCACTCATGCATACAATTGGAAGAGAGAAATGAGAAATTCCAGATAAGGGGGAGACTAACATAATCAAAAGTATAGAGCATGAAACCACCTCAGTCATTCAGGGATATTTGAACAAATTTTCATGACAATACCTGTAGCATTCTTATATACTTATTTACATGTCTGTCTCCCCCACTGGATAGTAAGCTCCTTCAGGTAGGGACTCTGTCTTATTTATTTCTCTATCCCTAAGGCCCAGGATGCCTCTCCTCTCTATGGGCTTACCATGACCCAGGTGTCTGTGGCCATTAGTAGGACTGACACAGTCCTTCCAGAGGTAAGGAAGAAGATCTGCCTATCTACATGTCAGTGAAGGGAGTGATATTTGATCTCACCTCCAGAAATGAATTTTATGGGAGAGGGGCTCCATATAATGCCTTGACTGGGAAGGTCTACCGGGGGGTAGCCAAGATGTCCCTGGTTCCTATAGATTTCACCCATAACACTACAGTCCTTACAATCAAGGAGCTAGAGAGTCCCTGGATAATATCTTTGTCAAATATCCCACCATCAGACCCACAGCCTGAAGAATTCTTAACAAGGATGGCAGCCCAAAACTAGACTTCAAGCCTGAAGATCAGCCCCATTTTAACATAAAAGACAATTTCTCATATTCTATATGCAGGTTCTTTGGAAAACAGGTCAGGGAAACCCTCAGATGCTAAATCTTCTGCAAAATAGGATAGTTGAGTTCTTTGAGTTACCCAGATCTGAATAAAACTGATGTTTAACCTGAGGAGATATCAAAGAACTAAATATGTTCAATAAAAGCTTGGACACTACATAGATGTGCTATAGGATTCCTTCCTGCGGAGATGACCCAGTAAAATGACCTCAAAATACACTTTCCATCCTGAGGATTCTTTGTCACTAGAGTGTCAATATCTTAGAGACCAATCCCTGTATTTGCCTGGGAAGTAGCCTGCAGGAGAAAAAAAAAAATGTTTTGCTAGCCCCTTAAGGATTAATAATAGTCACGTGGCTGGATTTGTTTTTCTGCTTTCTTGACTTTCAGGCCTGTGCCCAGTCCAGACAAATACTTCAGCCTCTCTGAATTCCTGTGTCCTTTCTCTGTTGAGATGGAACACAATGCTTTATTATTTCAAAATCCAGAGCAACCCAGGTGGTTTATGTTGTTTTATCTTTGATCAGGTCTGACCCAGCTGCTTTTGAGTCTCGCTTAGAGAAGCGCGGTGAGTTTCGAAAGCAGCCAGTGGGGCATTCACGACAAGGTGATTTTATCAAGTGTATGGAGAAGGTAAGACCTGCCCCTTTTTATGCTATTGGCTTACCAGTACCCCTCCCTATACCCTACAACCCTTACCCTTGAAGTGGGCTCCTTGATGGGTTAACTAGATAATCTGAACATAGCCTCTCTCTACTCAGTCTTCAACCATATATGTTTAACCTGCTGTTTCAGGGCAACATAGTGTGGTCATGGTGGAGATACAGAGGGATGAAAAAGATAGCTCCCTGCTCCCAGCACGAGCAGGCTAATGGTGAAGGCAAGGTGTAAACAACACTGGACTGAAGGAATCAGGGAAAATTTCTCAGGGAAGGTAGGACTTGATCCAGGATAGGAAGAGTTTGGGTGTGTTAGTCAGCTTTTCATCTCTGATAAAACACCTGAGAAAATCAACATAAAGTAAAAAATGTTTAATTTGATTCGTGGTTTCAGAAGTTTCAGTCCATGGTCTGCTGGCTCCAATGCTTTGGGCCTGAGGTGAGGCAAAATATCATGATGGAAGGGTATAGGAGAGGAAATGGCAGAAAGAAAGGAGCTGGAAACAAGATATAGTCCCCAAGAGCATGCCCCCAAGGTCTCATCTTCTATAGTTTCCACCACTTTGCAATAATGCCATCAGATTATGAATCCATCAATGAATTAATCCATTGATAAGATCAGAGTCCTCATGATCCAATCACTTCCCCAAAGCCCCAACTCTGGACATTACTGCAGTGGGGACCAAGGCTTCAATACGTGAGCCTTTGAAAGACATTTCAGATCCAAACCATAAGGCTAGAGGATTTGAATTAAGCCAAGAGGAGAAAGGGGAACTTTGAAATAGAACGGGGATCATTAAACATTTTCTGTAAAAGACCCAATAGTAAATATTTTAGGCTTGGTAGGCCATATGGTCTCTGTTGCAACTACTCAGTTCTGCTATTATACTACAAAAGCAGACAGTAAGTAAATGAATGAGTGTGTGGTTATGTTCTAGTCGAATTTTATTTATAGGACTGGGGGTGTAACTCAGTAGTAGAGAGCACTTGCCTAGCATGCATAAGACCTATATTCAATTCCCAGTGCCCCCCACCCCACCAAAAAACAAAAATTATTTACTAAAACAGTTGGCAAGCTGGATTTAGATTGCTGATGTCCAACTATTGCCCATTCATACTCCACTCCCACCCCTTGTTAAGGAACTAGGTTAAATAGAGGAAGACTTTTGAAAGTAAAGGATTTTAGGAAATAGTGAAGTATTTTGCCCAAGGTCAGTCCAGCAAGAGCTGTGTATCCAAAGGATGCCCCTAGCCTTGAGCAGAGAGAAATGTAAAGACTAAAGAAATAGGTTAGTCATTAACCTCCAAGTGAGGATTGGGTTTTGGAAGTGGAGATAGACAACTTACTTGGTAAGAGGATGGGCTCTGGAGCCAGATTTCAGGAACTGAATCTTAGCTCTTCTACCTACTATCTGGGTGACTCTCCAAGCAACTTATACAAGTTCTCCATGTCTCAGTTTGCTTCTCTGTGATAAAGGAATAATAACAGTACCTACCTTACAGAGTTGTGAGATATTATGCAAAACTTTTTAGCATAGTCCCTAGCACACAGTAAGTACTTAATATGTAATCACATAAGAAGTATTTAGTACATATTAGCCATTATTATCCTTAAACAAGGAATCAAAGCTGGCTGGAAAGTATGAGGAAAGCTGTATATAGGAAAATTAATCTAATGCAGTATTTTTCAACCTCTTTGACCATGACCTATAGTAAGAAATATATTTCCTGTAATAAATGTTTATAGTAGCAAGATTACCAGTCAGAAGCTCTTGGAAATATTACTGTATTGCAAACTTTCAATGTTATATAGGAAACCTCTTTGCACCTTTTTTTGTAAGCATACTTAAAAATTAACTATATAATGATAAGATACAGAATAAGTACTTAATTTTAATTATTGCAACTATTAGGTAAATATTCACTTACTATATATCTTCCTTATCTAGCTAGACAAAGGAAGGCTGATGGTAACCATATAATCAATTAGTATGACAAAAAAATTCTTCCCCAGACTCAAAGTATCCATCTCAGGGAAAATGGGTGTTTTGTTTGTTTTGTTTTCATGGTATACCTGGGAATGAGTAGTAAGAACTACTCCTTTTTAGTATGCTTACATATGAAGAAGCAGCTACTTTAGGATGCCACTAATATATGACCAAAAGACAAGACTATATTTTTGTATAATGGATTTTTCTGCATCAGGTTTTTTAAAAAAAAATATTTCTAGTTATAGATGGACACAATACCTTTATTTTATTTATTTACTTACTTATTTATTTTTATGTGGTACCAAGGATTGATCCCAGGGCCTCACATGTGCTAGGCAAATGCTCTACCACTGAGCCATAATCCTAGCTCCTATACCAGATTTCTCTCTCTTTTGTGGGTCCAGGTTCTATATATATAATTTTTGAAAGGTTTGGATTCATTAAATCATAGAGTGACAAAAGCTAGGTCTTATGCAGAAAAAGTATTTTTTAGCTTCAAAATCCTATGTATAGGCTGTACTCCTTACCTTTGAAAGTCATAGTCTTAAACTTAGAGACTGAATAGAAGATTCAGAACTATCAGCCATCCACCAGCATTCCTATATCAACAACAACTCGAACTAGGATTTCTAGTGTATAGCTTCTGTCAAAGCTAGTAAGCCAGGAGATAAAATAATCACTTTCAGTTGTTTTTTGCCTTTTTGAGAGGGAGTCTAATTTAATGGAAAGACCGTTGAGACTGAGTACTCAACTTGCCTATCATGTATGAGGCCCCCAGGTTCAATTCCTACTACTAAAAAAAAGAAGGGAGAACTTGGGATATAGCTCAGTTGGTAGAGTGCCTGCTTCACATGCACAAGGCCCTGGGTTCAATCCCCAGCACCATGAAAAAGAAAAAGACTGAGTACTCAGAAAGACTCTAGTCTACAAAGGACACCTGCCATCGGAAATGAGAAGCAGTCTTAAAAAAATATCTTTATATTTTCATCTTTTCTGCAGCTCAATGTGAAATAGTTGAAAGAGCCAATCACAGAAAACCCGAGCAGACCAAATTCTGCAAAGGAATCCCTCATATTCATAGTGGCAAGTATAGAATGAACTCTCAGTACTAGCTGATAATGGTTACTGACAAATCTTTTCTCATCTCTGCATCTCAAAGTCTTAGTCAGGGACAAGTTGTTTCATGAACAGGAACTCTTAGAGTAATGTGTACAGTTGTTATAAAGAGTGGAAAGAAGTGAGTTCTTAAGTGCAAAATTATTTAATGAGCTTGTGCACTTCAGCTAAATGGATTTCCTTTTTCCTATGAATAAAGCATAGATTGATATCCTGTCTCATCATGTATTTCAGACAGATACCTTGGGGAAACAGTCTATAAGCAGAGGATTCACTAAGGACAAGGTAGGTTTCTAATTAAATATAAAGATCCAAATCTAAAGTCATAGGAGACATTTTATATCAAGAGGCTAAAAAATTGAACATATTTACTGTGGTTAAGTGATTTTGTATAAGATGATTTTTCACCTAGAGATGAGAAATATTTCTATGAATTTTTGTATCCTTGACCCTAGTTCAAGTATAGGTTCTGGAGAAAATTTGAAGGAAACATAGTAACATCCTTCCTTTCTTTAGGAAGTAGTTTTAATAATCAAATAAAAACATATTTAGTCTGTCACTTAATTTGCACATAAGGAACCATCTCTGGTAAAAGAGCAGTTACATTAAAAATAACAGCCACCTTTCTCCTTTTAACAGCTGCAAAGTTCTATAGAACTCATTGGTGAGAGTGAAGCATGAACATGGTGACCTAATAGATAGCCCCCAGGAAAAGAACTATGAAAAACTGTGTGGGCTGGGGACTCACTGTCTCTGAGCATATATAGATTTTCATATACTTTTTCTATACTTACTGAAGCTCTGTTTCGATGTGCCAATAGGTTGTTTCCTACAAGAATTCCTACAGAATCAAGCTGTGGGGAGGGGGGTTTATTATTATTGTTTTTATTGTAGGAGTTAATTGCTTTTTATTTTCTCTTTCAAGACTCTCAGTTCAATCTTAAACATTGAGATGGTGAAAGACAAAACTGCAGAAGAAATAAAACAGGTAATGAATGAAAATGAATTGGCATACTCCATGAAAATGTGTTCTGTGAACCAAATCTGAGAGTAGAAAGAGCATACATTTTCTGATACCTCTTTTTAGTCAAAATGAAAAAGTAGTTATATGAGGCAAAAGTGATGAATTACATGAACAGTGGCATAAACTTGTCTTTCTTGGTCTTGCTCTCATATAACTAACCAACTTGTATTTTCCCTTTTTCATTCCTGTTGCCTACATCTAATTTAAAACCAAAAATACCCTATACCTGGATTACTATATTATCTTTCCAGTAGGTTTCCTGTTCCCATTTCTCCCCCCTCTACATATCATATTCTCACCAGCTGAGTCCTGCTTGCCTTATAGGGAAGCATAGCATACTGGTTAAAACATAGATTGCCAGTTTTAAGTCCTAGCTTGACCACCTCCTAATTGTCTGACATGGACAAGTTAGTTACCTTTTTGAGTCTTAGTTTCTCTATTTTAAAGTAGAGATAACAGTACATACATTCAAAGAGTTGAGAATTAAATGAATTAATATGTATAAAGTACTTAGAACAATGCCTAGTACTGAGTAAGGGCTATAGTTCTTAAATGAATAAAAATATTATGTTGGGAACCTGCTTACAGATGTTAAGTAACTTCTCATTTCTTTTTGTTTCTTTCTTTTTTCTTTTTTTTTTTTTTGACATTCATAATCTTCCATGATTCCAGAACCTTCTGCAAGAAACTTCTTGAACTCCTTCCTTCAAACACTCCTCATCTATCCTGCCTATTTGGTCATTGTATATGCCTTGATTTTCATTGCCAGTTACCTTTTTATGTCTGGTTCTTTTCTAATGAGACTATAGAAAAAGCTATTTTTTGGCATTTCTTGAATTTCATTTTAGGTATATGTACTATTTATCAAAATAATAATAGAAGTAACATATCTGTCAGGTATTATCCCTAGTGCTTCATATGCATTATTTAATTAAATTTTTATGACCACTCTGTGAAGAAGGTGTTGTCAGTCTCAATTTATAGTTGAGGGAGCTGGAACTCAAATCCATGTCTGTTTGACTTTGCGTCATATTCACTTAGAGTTGTAATGCATTTCCTTTGGATGTTATATCATTTATTTTACCAAGCATTTACCAAGGAGTGCAAGTGGAACATGGGATTGGAGCTGGAATCTACATCCATGTCCTCCTGACTCCAGATCCTGTACCAAACAAAATTTCCTATTCTCAATAAGTTTAGTGGAGGGACAAACATAAAAACAAATAAAACCAGCACAAGATTCAGTTTCTGTTAATAGAGACGTATGCAAAGTCTCAGGGGGACATCAGGCTATGACTTTGGGAAGGAGTGCCAGTGGAACTTGGGCACCATACATGTCACTTCGGAGCAAGAAAACCAGGTCTAGGAGGCCTGATCATAGAGTTATCATTTAGACCTATAAATGTAAATACAAATTTGTGTTCATTGAAATAATTTTTGAGTAGTGAAGGCCAGCCAAGTTAGGAAATATCTATTAGTTTAATAAATTTCAGTGTTCATTCATAAACTTTGCTAATATCATAAATTAAATCAAAATGATCAGAATATGCTATCCTTAAATTAAGAAGTCTGGCCCGGGGATATAGCTCAGTTGGTAGAGTGCTTGCCTTACATGCACAAAGCCCTGGGTTCAATCCCAAGCACCAAAAAAAAAAAAAAAGAGAGAGAGAGAGAGAAAGAAGAAAGAAAAGGCAATGTTAGGCTGCATTAGTTGAGTGGTTTGCTTAGGTTCTAGGAAGTAGTGGGGTTTTTTGTGCTCTATATTTTGGTAAGCTAGATCACACTTTGATTAGTATCTTCAGTTGGGACTTGTGTGTGTGTATGTGTTTGTGTGTGTTTATGTGGTGCCAGGGATCAAACCCAGGGCCTTGCACATGCTAGGTAAGTACTTTACCACTGAGCCATCGTTCTGGGGCCATATATTTTATGGGAATATTGACAGAGCAGAGCAATTTTAGGAAAGGATGACCCATTCTTCAACATGTGCTCACTCAGAGGTCTCCTTGGTTCTGATGCCTTTCTTGACTTCTGTGCCCTGGTTAATGTTGTCATTTTGTGTATAGAATGTGTCTGTTATCTCCTCCTGCCTTATTTCATTTCATCTGATTGAAATGACCAAGTGAGACTACGTGGAAAAACGTAGTTGTTCTCAGCTTCAGAGAACAGGAAAGATTGGGGGGTCAGAGATAGAGAGGAAGGCTTTTCCAGTGAGAGCCAATAACATAAAAAATGGAAAACAATAAAAATAATAGTAATGAAAAATATAAACACAGAGCATGTATGTGATATAGAGGGGATTAAAAAAAAACAAGAGACAGTATTGCATATATATTATATCTATTTATATTATAACAGAAAAAATATTCTTAAGATATGCTAGAAACATATATCAAAAATAACAATAGTGATTCTTTTCTGGTAGTAAGACTATGGGCATATTTTTCTTTTCCTTATTTTCTAATTTTGTAATTTCATTATATAAATTTGTATTCCCTACACTTTGGTATTTGCATCATGAGAGTCAGCTTCTGTCTTATCTATACCAAAGTCACCTAGAAAATTTGATCTCTTCCTTATATGAAAGACTTTCAGGAAGTAGGAAGCTGCCTATAACATGGCAAAATTAGCTAATAAAGGCTAGCATTACTTTTAGTGTTTACTTTGTGCCAAGCACAAACCTGTATTAGTTCAGCTAGTCTTCACAACAATCCTGTGAGGTTGATATTATTGCTATTTTATTGATGTTATTTAGGGAGTTTCAGTGATTTACCCAAGGTAGCACAGCTAGTAAATGATTGGAACTGGAATCTACATCCATGTCCTCCTGACTCCAGATCCTGTACTCTGAATGACTGATGTTCTGGCTATCAGTAACAGGCCCACAGTTGTCTGGAGAGATGAGGATTTGGGGAGGAAAGAAAGAAGATACCAAAAAAAAAAAAAAAAAAAAAAGGATCTCAAAAGAGGATCACAAGGCACATCTTGAAAGGAGTGATTTCAAAGGTCATAGAATCTATTTCTCTGGCAGAATTTGTTAGTAAGAATTAGAATTTAATCATTTAGAGGAGTGTGTGGCATTAAATCATCTTTGTAATTATATATTAGTTATAAAAGCACTATAGTGGGTTTTTCCTCTTTGCTATCAAGTAGAATATTATTCTGAGCAAATGAAAATTATCACCATTTCTTGGCATAGGTTGAAAAGATTACCCACATATCACAAATTTACCCCTTTTTTTCTATACAGATTTGGCAGCAGTATTTTGCAGCAAAAGATACAGTCTATGCAGTTATTCCTGTAAGTAGTTTGGACGGGAAATGAAAGTGTTACAGTATGAAGGTCAGTGCTCTAACCTTAGCCGGCAGTTGCCTTAACTTTTCTTGTGTTTATAGCCTCTTGAGAACTTGGATTTTACAGCTCTGAGGGTTTTTATTATGCCTTAAGCGCCAAAGATTGGAAGCTCCATATGGTATATTTATGGCTTTTGTTTTCCCTCTTTCTGGTTTAGAAATGTCTCTGAGTTAAGTCTCTGACAAGGGAGCATGGTATAAGTTCATGTTGCTGAGTAATTTCCAGATGTCTTTTATTTCTTTTTGATGTTTTCAACCCGGCTGTTGGAATTTAAGACATAGCCTCTAGTATAGCTTTCTTCACTTCTTATCTATAAATAACATACCCAAGCTGACTTGGAGCTTCCTCCTAGTCTTTCTGTGGCGTTTTCCCTTAGCAAATAGCATTTTCTTGGTTTTTTCGCTCTTGAAATTTCTGTCTTAGAGATTGTCACTGGCTTGACCATTAAGGTCTGTGACTGGAAAGGGATGCTGTTGGCTTCTCTAGTTTAATGCCCTTCTGCTGACAGGAAAACATTTTAAATACTGGGTTATCAGCTTGTTCTTCAATGTTCTTTTTCTTCTCTGAAGAGGAAGTGGCTTAGATTAAGCTTAATTATATCACGCATAAAATATATACTTGCTTACACGAATAAGTGTAAGAATAAGGAAGAAAACAGATAGAAGGATAAAGCCAGACCTTTTGGTTGTTATGTATGAGGGTATCACTATCAGTTTTTGCTTTGTTCTATTTTTTAGCCTCATATACATATATAGCTATACCCTTCATGAGTTCAACAGTCAAAACAATCTGTACTTTTCATTATATTTTAGATTTCTTATACCAAGTTAGTGTTTGAGCAAACCTTCTCAGCTCTCCCTTGGACTGACTTAGTGAGTTCCCTGGAGAGTTGAAGCATTATTTTCACTCTTAATTCTGATAATGAACAGCAAAGCACACATCTGACTTCTCTTGTCTTTCTGTTACAAGAGTGATTTATAAATTATGAAACTTAAAAGATTGTTTTAGTTGTTGATAGTTCTAGAATCCAATCTTGGTGAATTTAATTGTGACTGTGGTCTTTTGTGTTTCCCTGTTTGTGAACTAATTTACTCTTTTCTGACTTACAGAAAGAGAAGTTTGATTTGATCTGGAACCGGGCGCAGTCCTGTCCAACAGTAAGTTTTTGGTGACCACGTAAGGATTGCTTAGCAGTACTGCCAAGAAAGGTGTTTTCCAACCCATTCCATCATATTCCATACTCTCACTTGTTATGGTGTACTGTTTATTTAACAAAGATGCCCACATATTAATTGTACTGATAAGTGATATTTATAGCCTTACAAAATAATGTGGGTTTTACCCAATAAGCCATGGGTTTTTTAGCTCTCTGCCACATATCAGGCCTTTCTGATGTTGGTCTTCATCTATTAGGGTAAGTGCAAGGTACCTGAGACCTTGATCTTTGCAACCTCTCTCAAGTTCCTAATTTACTGGCAATTTTCTTTGTAGTTTTGGCCATGCTATTCTGGTAATATGTGCCTATTTTTGAGGTTGTTGCTAAAATAATGAGCTTTCAGAAGGTTCCAGGGAAAGAGAATGGGTAGCTGACTTTACAGCTGGGCTACTATTGGTAATAATTTCTAGGATTTTTCAATTTTTTTTTCCAAACATTGCTGACAAAACATAAAGAATTATTTAAAGCTGGAGATATAGCTCAGTTGGTAGAGTGCTTGCCTTAATCCCCAGCACCACACATACACACAAAAAAAATCTAAGTAAAAGGAGAGATATGTCATGTTCTTGGATTGGATGACTCAATATTGTTAAGATGTCAGTTCTCTCCAAATTGATCTCTAGGTTAAATACAATTCCAGTCAAAATCTCAATAGGCTTTGGTATAGTACTAAAAACAGTATAGAGCTGGGCATAGTGGCACATGCTTATAATCTCAGTGACTTGGGAGGCTGAGGCAAAATAATTGCAAGTTTGAGACTAGCCTGAACAACTTAGCGAGGCCCTAAGCAACTTAGAACCTGTCTCGAAATAAAAAATTAAAAAGGGCTGGGGATGTGGCTCTGGTAAAACACCACTGGGTTTAATCCTCAGTACCAAAAAAATTGTAGTATTAGCATAAATAGACATAGAAATCAGTGGAACAGGATAGAGTCCAGAAATAGACCAATCTATTTCAGGTTAGTTGTTTTTCAAGAAAAATGCCAGAATAATTAAATAGGAAAAGGATAATGGTTTCAACAAAGGTGCTAAAATGATTGGATAGCCATATGAAAAGAAAATGAACCTCTACTCTTATCTCATACTACATAAAAGTTGATTCAAAATAGGTTGTAGACATAAATAAAAACTAATGGAAGAAAAAATAAAAGAGGAAGTCATAGGTTTAGTTGAGCAAAGATTTCTTAATTATGCCATGAAAAGCACAAACTACAAAAGAAAACAAATCATTAGATTAGGTTTCATCAAAAGTAAAATATTTGTACACTTGTACACTTATATTCTTAACAGCACTTATCAAAATAATAAAATGGTGGAAGCAACCCAAGTTATGTTAAAAACTCTTATTACAATAATAAAGAGGACAGACAATGCAATTAAAAAAATGGACAAGAGATTTGAATAGATGTTTTACCTAAGGAGTGAAGTGACAGATAAGCAGCTGAAAAGATGCTTATTAGTTCTCATTGAATTCTCATTAGTTATTATGAGAATGCAAATTAAAACCTTAATAAGATACCACTAGAATAATTGAAATTAAAAAGACTGATGATGCCAAGTGTTGGTGAAGATATGGAACAACTGGAACTCTCATATACTGCTATTGATTGTATAAAATGGTACAACCATGTTAGAAAATAATTTCTTTAAGTGTAAGCCCACACCTACCATATTAACTAGACATTCTATTCCTAGATATTTTTCCAAAAAAACTAAAAGCAGTCATATACTGACCTATTCATGAATGTTCAAATAGCTCAGTTCATAATAACTAAATAATAGAAATAATCCAAATGTGAGTCACAAGTGCATAGAAATTATGAGGGGGGAGAGAGAAAAAACATACATCTGCACCTATACACACAATAATCTTCAGCAATAAAAATGAATGAATACATAGAACAGCATGGATAGATCACAAAACAATAATGCTGAGTGAAAGAAGCCAACCTTCCCTGATAAAGGACATATTCCATGCTACCATTTATACAAATTCTAAAATATAGACTGATCTAAAGTCACAGAAAGCAAATCAGTGATTGCATAGGGACAGTAGGGGACGGGGAGGTATGAATTACAAAAGGATACAGAAAAACTTTTAGAGACCATAGATATGTTCATTAAGTTGATTATAGTAATGGTTTCACAGTATGCAAGTAATAGAACAAATCAAATTTTAATACAAATATTAAATGTATAATATGTACTTCAAATGTATATAATTTATTATACTTCAAATATGCCTAAATAAAACTCCATAAGCTTATTTCCCCCTAATAAAGAATATCAAATAGCCACCAAGGTTGTCTCAGATATTTAATAGTAATGAATCAGAGCCTGAGTAGTTGCCAGTAAGAAAACAACTCTGTGACTAGTATCTATTGGACTTTATTTTATTCTGGCACCATTCTCTACTGCTCATCTTCAATTCTAAGCATCCTGGGCATAAAACTAATAATTTCTTGGTATTTAATCTAAAGTCATGTGCCAGTATTATTAAATGATTTTATAGCAATTCGAACAAGTTATTTCAATACCATTAGTAAACTTAGAAATTGAAAAAGACCCAAATGTTCATTAAGAAAAAAATAGATGAATAAATCGTGAAAAATGTTTGTAGTAGAATTGCATACAATAGTGAAAAATTAAAGGATTATATTTATCAACATATATTAGTCTCAGAAGCCTAATATGAATTCAAGAAAGGAAGTTATGGGTTGTGGCTCAGTGGTACAGCACTTGCCTAGCATGTGTGAGGCACTGGGTTCAATTCTCAGTATCACATATAAATAAATTAATAAAATAAAGGTCCATCAGTGTCTTATAAAAAAAAAAGCAAGTTATAAGAGGATATATACAGTTTGATAAGATTTAAAGTTTTTGAATGCTCAAATAGTATATTTTGCTTATAGATTTACACATATGTATTAAAAATATAAAAACAGAAGGGAATGATAGATAGATACAGGACTGAATGTAAACTCTAGAATGGGATTGGAATGGCATGCAAAGGGATCCTCAAATTATATCTCTAATGCTTTATTTCTTAAGTGGGCTGAAAAGTGTTATATTGTCATATGAATTTCATAATTCTAAAATGTTTTAAAAAACAAGTATTGATAAAAATGGGGTAATAGATGCAAGTGGATGGACCTAGAGCAAATGGCTTCTTTTATTTAATTGTCTCCTTGTGTATTTTTTTCCCAGTTTCTGTGTGCACTACCAAGAAGGGAAGGTTATGAGTTCTTTGTAGGACAATGGACAGGTACTGAACTCCACTTCACTGCACTTATAAATATTCAGGTAGGTGGCTTGTGCCCTACCAAGCAAAAGGGTAGGAAGAAAGGCCTGCTCGTTGTTAGGACTAGAAGCCCTTTCTGAGGTTTGGGGCACAGAATATTTATTAACTCCCAGCATTATTTGTTATAGCACTGCTGAACTATCATACTTTGAATGTTGGGCTATTTTTCTAGGCTCCACTTAATGTCAAGAAATTAGAGAAAAGACCTTAGATTACTTTTTCTTACTATATCTGGCTCTCTTTTGTCTCTTCCCCAGACCTCAATAGCTCTTACTGCATGTGCCCCACTTAACAAATATGGCTAAGTTAGGATGTTATCTTTTTAATCCAAGCTATAAGCCCACTGAGGAAGGTTCTGTGTCTTTTGTATTTTGTATTAACCAAGTCAGCACCTTCTGAGGTGCTAGATTAATATTTTCCATTTAATGAATGTCATTTTGTTTGCTTCCTTTTTTTGTTTATTCCCGAACATTAGATTTAAAAAGTTAGATTCAAAGCATTTGAATCTTTTAAACAAAAGTCGATATTTTGCTGAGCAAGGTAGCTCACAGATGCTTCCTCATGAAATTATGATGTTCTCATACTTTTTCCCTCCTCCCTTCCCTAACCAGATTATATTTTAAAACTGTACACTACAAATCTGGACTATATCTCTAGCTTTTGTTGCAGCTTACTCCATCTTCAGAGCCAGCCAAGGAGAGTAGATTTTAGCTATGAAATGAACTAGTCCATAAAAGTGAGAATTACACAGGCATATTGCTTTCTTTAGAACTTGATTTGGTAGCTGCTTGTGCCATTTTGGTTTTAAATGTATAGTCACAATGAAGGATTCACTGCCTTCTATAAACATTTTCTGGGAAAAAAGCCAAATCTTTTCCAATTGAAGACACAAATAACATCCTGCAAACTGTCAGTTTCACTGTGCCTTTGTAAGTCTGACCTTGCCCCCACATACCAGTCCTCCAACTCACTAGCCACCCAAGGGGCTTTTAAGAACCAGAATTTCCTCCAGACTCTCTATTGCTTTGAAATTGCAGTTTGTTGTGGTGGTACCTTATTGAGCTTGATAAGTATTCTTCTTGCAGACCCGGGGGGACACTGCAGCCAGCCAACTGATTTTATATCACTACCCTGAACTTAAGGAAGAAAAGGGCCTAGTACTGATGACAGCAGAAATGGATTCCACTTTTCTGGTAAGAATCAACATTTACCTCTTTGAATTTACTTAGTGGTTCTGAAGGTGTTACTCTTCTGTGAAAGTTCATGAGAGGTAAAATTCTAGAGACCTAAAGGTAATAGGTACAGATAATGTGGAACTATGGATTATACAACTCCCCACAGAAAACACTCTTAGTATTTCCCTAATTTGTTTCTTATTTACAAAGTTGAAAATAATTTGATCTTGCTCACACTTTTGCTATTTGAAGCTACAACACATCCTCAATCATCTTTTCACAACTCTGAAATCCATAGGCTCTGAAAATAATTTTCCTTTTTTTAAAATATTTATTTTTTAGTGATAGGTGGACACAATATCTTTATTTTATTTTTATGTGGTGCTGAGGATCGAACCTGGTGCTTCACGCATGGTAGGCAAGTGCTCTACCTCTAAGCCACAGCCCCAGCCCCTGAAAATCATTTCCTAATACTCATTTGGTCACAAACCTTACTTGACCTTCCCAGCAGCTTGGGACACTGAGGCAGGAGGGTTGTGAGTTCAAAGCCAGCCTCAGCAACTTAGTGAGGCCCTAAGCAACGTAGCGAGACCTTGTCTCTAAATAAAATATAAATAAGGGCTGGGGATGTGGCTTGGTGGTTAAGTACTCCTTGGGTCAATCCCTGATACCAAAATAAACAAACTATACTCGGCTTAAATTCATTTGGGAGGTAAATGTTCATTTAAACTGAGATGAGGCCATTTATAGTCCTATTAGTCCCACTTGACATAGAATATTACATATTTTATTAGGGAAATACTAAGTGTATTTTCTGTGGGGAGTTGTATAATCCATATTTCCATATTATCTGTACCTATTACCTTTATAAAATAATTCTGAATCCAAGACAAATCTGACCGTAAGAATTTCAGGTAAGAGATATGGTGGACAAATAAATGGCTTCCTAAGTGTAGAGAAGAGCTGAAAGTCTAGAATAGTTCTCTCTTTTATCTTCCTCTACACTTCTCACATATGTAACCTTCATTATATACATGATTTCCTTTTCCACTTGGAATCACCAGGATAGAGCACTGAGTACGTTCATGCTCACAGCTAGTAATGTCCATTGTGTTCTCACTGCACAATACAAGAAGTAGTTTTATGATTACTATACAACTTCTTTGTCTAGTTCTTGCTCATTTCAATCTCATTATCTGACAGAAATAGTTCAGGGTGTCCTCAGTATAGTGACACTTTAGAGCCTCTTTACCCTGAGATTCTTCATTACAACATTCACTTATTTTCCCTGTCTCTCTTTCTCTTAGCAGATGCATAGTGAGAAGGACAGTGTTATTCAGCTAATATATCACAGTAGCATTAATTAATTCCCTGATTTTTATTCATAACACTGTCCAGTTCCATTTTTCCCATTCTTCCTTCCTCATAAATCTTCTGCACATCATACTCAACTGGAAGGCACCTAAAATCCTTTCTAGAAATGCAGATTTGCCATTAACTGAGATAGACAAGATTTCAGAAGTAATAGGTTTGGAAGAAAAATCAGGAGCTCACTTCTAGACATGTTGAATCTGAGATACCTATTAGATCTCCAAGTAGTAGGCAGTTAGATATATGAGTATGGTATTCAGGGGAGAGGTTCAGGCTACAGATACAAATATGGGATTGTCAACACACAAATTGTACTTAAAGCCACAAGACTGAATGAAATCACCAAAGAAATAAGTGAAGATAGAGAAGAAGTCTAACAACTTGAGTCCTGGAGAGATGAAGAAGTATCAGCAAAGAAGATTAAGAAGGAACAGTTGTGAGGCAGAAGGAAAATTAAGATGGTAGAATGCTATAAAAGCCAAGAGAAAAATGTTTCAAGCCATAGGGATTGCATAATTGGCCAAATCTCACTTGCTTATAGGACAAATGAGATGAGGACTGAGAATTTATTAGATTTAACAAATATGGAGATTTGGGGGAACATTTATGAGAGCAGTTTCAAAGGGATGGTATAATGATACAAGCATGATTGGAATAGATTTAAGAGAGGATGGGAAGAGAAATTAGAAAGAGAAAACATTAATAACTCTTAAGCGAAGGAAAGAGTGGAGCACTAGCTAGAGGAAGAGAAGTGGGAATGTATTTTGTTCTGAATATGGGATAAATAACATTTATATGCTAATGGAAAACATCCAATAGAGAGGGGAATATTGATAATACAAGGCAAAGAGGGAAAGAGTGATATTTTTGAGTGGACAAGTCTGAGAATGAGGGTTTGATTCTTGCCAGAAGCATATTAACAGAGAGAAGTCAGGGTATAAGGACACAGAGTTAAATGGATAGAGATAATAGTAGCTTATAGAAGTGCTTGCCCCATTGCTCAGAGAAAAGAAAGCCCATCACTGAGAGTAAGCATGGAAAAATAGATGTTAGACATTTGAGTCAAAAAGAGAAAGTATGAAATTGTCTAGGATTGATCAGCAAGTTACAGACTGTGGACTATATCCAACCCACAGGCTATTTTCATAAGGCCCATGAGTTACTAATGTTTTCTACATCTTTAATTAGGTTAAAGAGAGAGAGAGAGAGAAATTTCATTATATGTGAAAAGCATATGAAATTCAAATTTTAACATCCATAAATAGAAGTTTTATTGCAACATAGCCACGTACATTCGTTTACATACTATCTTTGGCTGCTTTTGTTCTACAGCAGAATAGAATAGTTAAAGATTCTATGATGTACAGAGTCTAAAATATATACTATTCATGGAAGTGTTTGCCTGCCCATGGTATGACAGCATAATAAGAAGAGTGAATTTTTGTATAGGTAGGGCACAGAGAGAAAGTTGAATTTAACTAGGGGTATGGTTTGACCAAGTAGTATAATAAGTGATTGAGGGGTCAGGAAGTTAAAGATAGATGCAAAGGAATGATTATAATTATTGACCAAGGAATGAAAGCTGAGTAAAGGGGAAGTGAATAGATAAGGAAAGTTTGAAACAGTGAGAATTGTGGGGTTATAGATTGTTGGAGTTGGGAGTGAATTAGAAAGATAGGAAATAGTAGACAAAGTGCATATGTTTCACATTGAGATTTGGAGGGAATACAGTTACCTATAATGACAAAGTTTGATTTGACCATGGAAATGTGATAGAGTGTGCTATATTTTCTGGTCTTCAGTAAAAGCACAGCATCTGATTATATTTAAAGAGGATTCTAGAGGTCAGAGGAGGCCTTTTCTGCATTGTTCCTTTTTTCCATTGTTCCATACCACCTCACTCTGGTGGTCTCAAACTGCTACACAGTTCTTATCACCATGAAATTTGTTTCTTGACCTTATAATATTTGACAACATACCAGGAAACATTCATTGCCTTGTATAAATGACTATGAGGCTCCAGTATAGTACAGAACTAGATGCATTAGAATTTATTGTAAAGTTACATGATATAGAGAAGGGAAACCTAGAAATGTAATATGCATGTATGGTCCCATATATACTGGAACATGAAAAGTGCACCTTAGGTACAGCATTTCCAAGTATAGTAAAGCATTAATCTCAGATGAATAGAAATATGTAAAAACTAGAGGTTTCTTCTGAAGTGACCTTCATGCTAAAAAGTTAGTAATATATTTTAAAAACATAACCTTGTTTGACTCCACATCTGTATCATTAGATGATTTTATTGGAATGCAGTTGGTGCTATATAGGGTTCAGAAGTGGGGTCAGGGATGGGGCACTGTGCCTAGCCCAAAGTGAGAAAGCTTCCTAGAGGAGGGACAGGGAAAGGGAGGTGTTACCAACTGAGAAAATAACATAAGTAAATGTTAATATACATATATTATGTATGTATGTATGTATGTATGTATGTATATGTATCCCAAGCCATTTGGGATACATATACATACATAATATGTATATATTTATATATATATATATATATATTTAAAAAATACATATTTTTTAAGGAGGTTTGTAGGACTGTATTTAGAAGTTTGGCCTTATCCTAAAGGCATGAAAAGAGTTATTAAAGGGTTTAATATAGAGTAACCGATGAAGAGTTAGGTTTTAAGACCACTAACCTTAATTATTTGCTTCCTAAACATTCTGCAGTTCTAGTTGGTCAGTGTGATCATTTAGAAGACATTTGGAATAGTCTGGGCCAGAGATAGTGCAGATCTGAACTAGAGCAGTACTAGTAAAGGTGGAAGAGAGAAAAAGACTGCAGAAATGGAGAGGGAAAAATATGGGCAGGACTTGGTACTTTGATTGTAAATATATATTGTGTTAGTCAGCCTTTTGTTGCTGTGATCAGAATACCTAACAAGGATAATTTAGAGGAGGAAAATTTTATTTTAGCTGACAGTTTCAGAGGATTCAGTCATGTTTAGCCAACTCCATTCCTTTGAGCCTGAAGTAAAGCAGAAGATCATGGCAGTTGGGAAGCAGAAAGAGAGAACAAGGAGCCAGGAACAAGATATAGTCCCCAGAGGCACAACCTTCAATGATCTGCTTCTTCCAGCCACACCCCACCTGACTACATTTACCACCTAGTAGTCCATTGAAATTATTAATCCACCAAATGGATTAATCCACTGATGAGCTTACATCTCTCATAATCCAATCTTTTCATAAAAGCCCTATCTCTGAACCTTACTGCATTGGGAACCAGACTTTCAAAACATGAATTTTTTTAGAAGGACAATTCCAGATCCAAATCATAACAGATACAAAAAAAATTGAAAGAGAAAAAAAAATCAAGTCTGTTAATAATACCTTCTTATTGAGCATCACAAGGAGTTAGTATATTTATCTTTGTGGGTGTTGGAAAGGGAAGAAACCAATGTTTTATGTTGAAAATCAAGAGAATAAAAGGCTGAGTGAATAAGGAGTAAGGGATGCTTTCCATAACCCTCCAGGAGAGAAAGAGAGATGTCTACCTCTCTCCCTATAACCTACCTCCCTATACACCATTTAAACTTTTTTTTAAAGTGGTGGGAGGAACCCTTTATCCAAACAAAATCTTATGTAAAATCCCAGGAAATAACAGCTAAAACTGAGAGGAAGGGACCTGAGGCACCTCCACAGAATCCTTAAGATTCTACAGAATATTTTGGATAGCACTGTTCTAGAGTGAACACAGCTAAATTTGCCCCTGCCTTCACCATCCCACCTCAAATAAAAGATTGATATCAGAATTCCTACCACTCTGGGGCTCAGAAAATGGTAGTAACTGCCTCATGTGGCAGCGCATTTACTTTAGGGTTTGCATCTGATGCACGTTTGAATTTAAGAAAGGTAAATTGATGAAGTAAAGTTAGTGGCCTCTATCATAATCTTAATTATCAGAAACGTAGTGGAGTGAAATGTAGGGAAATGTATTGAAATGATATGGAAGGATTATTGCTATTAAGACATAAGAGATTATAGCTCTGTCTTGGATCACTCACCCTTGGGTATTATTCAGTTCTGCCACTGGCCAACTACATGACCTTGGCCTTGTCCCTGAACCCCATCTACTTTGGTTTCCTGGCCTATTAAATGAGAACTGGATGATCTCTGAGGCTCCTTCCAACTTTAAAATTCTATTAATTTTACATAGCTAGGTTTTTGGGAAAAGGATTTTGATTGAAGATCCAGTCTCAGAGATTAATGCCTAATGAGAAATTACCTAAAAGTCCCAGGGAGGGAATAGAGGTGAAGCACAGCCTACAGTATTTATAAACTCATCTTCATCATTCAGTAGCTAGACACATCACACTTTGAACAGTCAGTTTTTATGGGAATTTTCCAGTATCTTTTGGGGCTTGATTTTGGCCGTATGAACATCATGATGATAAATAAGTGCCTCTGGTGAACTAGAACTGCAGAATGTGTAGAAATAAAAGTCAGAATCATTTGAGGTAATTCTTTTGTGAGGTTTTGAGGGTGTGGCCCTTGCCCCACAGCCCCACAGTCCTGTGCTCACTGTGTCCCTGCTCTGCCTTTAGAGAAAATAACCTTTTCTTTTTCTGGGGTTTTGCTGGTAGATTGGTTATAAATGGCTACATAACAAATTACTTCAAAACTTAGTGGCTTAAAACAGCAAACCTTTATTGCCTCATAGTTCTTTAGGGCAGGAATTCAGGAGCAGCTTCGCAGGGTAATTCTGGCTCAAAGTCTCATGAGGTTGCTGTTAGGATGTTGGCTAGGACTGTAGTCATCAAAGGCAGATTGAACTTAAGGATTGATTCACTTCTGGCCCCACTCACATGGCTGTTGGCAGAAACCTTGTTCCTTACCACATTGGGTTCTCCATAGGGCTACTTGAATGTCCTTATGGTATAGTAGCTGGCTTTCCCAAGGGTGAGTGAACCAAGACAGAGCTATAATCTCTTATGTCTTAATAGCAATAATCCTTCCATATCATTTCATCTTAGTCTGTTTGTTAGCAGCAAGTCACTGAGTGCACCCTCCCTTAATGAAATGCTCCACCAAAGGGAGAAGTATCTTACAATTTGTGGACACATTTTATTTGAAACTATCACAACTAGCTTTCGCATTATTTTTCACACTGAGGTGGTATCAGTAACAGATTTTATTCAAGTATAAGTCTGGTTAGTCAAGAACTTAGTACTTACAAAGTAGTTCTCAGACCTGGGTAATCCTTGCTCTTTTTTTCCCTTGTAGATATATTTAACAGTTATTTAGAAATTGAATGTAGAAGGAAATTGTGAACATATGCATTAGTTTATTCAGCAAACATTCACCAGATGTCACTGTGTGCAGAAATATAAAACAAGTCCTGGTCTATATCTTTGAGGAATTTGTATTAGGCAAGACAGAAAGAGCGGGGAAAAGGACAAATATAATACAGTGTGATAAATACTTTTATAGTAATAAACATAGGACGATTTGGTTTTATGGAGTAGGAACACCTAACCAAGGCTTGGGAAATCAGAGTTAGAGCTTTCGGAAGCAATGATTCCTAAGAGCTCCCAACTACCACAAAACTCAGACTCAGAGTTCTGTGGCCCTGTACAAGGAGAGACCTTATAATTCTTTTTACCTTTCAGAATGTTGCTGAGGCACAGTGCATCGCCAACCAAGTCCAGCTCTTCTATGGCACTAATCGGAAAGAGACCTATGGTTTAGTGGAGACCTTTAACCTCAGACCAAATGAATTCAAATATATGTCTGTCATCGCTGAATTGGAGCAAAGTGGACTTGGAGCAGAACTGAAATGTACCCAGAACCAGGATAAGACTTAAGAGTTGTAAAGTTTGACCCTTCATAGAGCAGCTCAGCCCTGGATAATCTAGAGCCCACCCACCCCCTTGAACTTAGGAGTTCAGCATCTAATGAGGAGTCTATCTTGAGTTGCTCTATGTGCTTATTGCAAAACGGGATTGTGGAGATGAGCCCTAATACTTGATATTCAGGAACAGAGGTACCCAAATGTTCTGATAATTACCTCAGCACACTTGAGGTTTCCTTTTTAAGTATTTCTGGTCATAAAAAGAGACAGCCAGGAAGCTGCAGAATGGTTGACTTGATTTTACATAGTATTACACTGCAGTTGCTCATTTCTCCCAGTTATGCATCTTTGTGAACTTGTGCCATGATGATAAACTTGAAGATCTGTAGTTAGATATGGGCTTTATATACTTTTTCCATGTGCCAGTCAGCTGGCCAAAAGCACAACCCAAATATCCTGTTAGGCTCTAATATATGTTGTTATATATTCCCATCTAGATGCGCCCACCCCCCCAGAGTTTGCTTTAGTGTAGCTGGTTTGGGGTATCAGCAGATTTCAGGTACAACTGGATAAACAGATATAGTGCCTGTACATTGTTAAACCACAATTTGTGGTACCCATGCCTCTAACTCTTCCTATTAGAAGCTATGCATTTGAAAGGGGTGAATCAGTGCAGTGTAAATAAAACACTTTTTTAAGGAGGAGATCATTCCATATTTGCATGATTTTTTTTAACAACTAAGTATTACATGAAAAAATGGTTAGACACACATGTTCCCAGATTGTGAGAAATTGTAGCAATAATAAAATCTGGCTCACAGTCTGTTATACAAAATAGTGAAATCTAAGCTGTGTGCCGTCTGTCCATGGTATCAGTGCTGTGGGTTGATTTTATCGAAAATCATCTTGGAGCTGGGCATATGGCTAAGTGTTAGAGCACTTGCCTGGCATGAGTGAGGCCCTGGGTTTGATCTCTCAACACCAAAAAACTTCATCTTAGGACTCCGCAATTTCTTGAAACTCCAGAAATAAGAAAGTTGTTCTTCAACACTGGGAACTCATGTGTTGTAGTATCATTGTTATGGCTCTAAGCTCAGTGATAGAAGAGAATGGTGGTTACACTCCATCCTTCTGAGCTCAAAGTACCTGGCACCTGCTGTATTATTGTTAATCACCTGTACCATGCCTTCCCTTTTCTTTATCTAATGTGCTCCAATTGTCTACTACCCCTGTGGAAGATCTGGGTGACACTGAATTATGGTGAGTAGACATTTAAGCTGTGTGCTTGCATGTGTGTGTATGTTTTTCATTATGGAAGACTTATTGGACCTGTCCAGAAGCTTTTTAAAAAGGATTGGATTTCCCATTATTTATTCGAGCTGAGTATTTTGTTGTGCTTCTAAGTCAGTGTGTAGAGAGTGTTTATTTTAACTTAAAGGAGTTGCTATCCTTTCTACATTTTCTCTAAATATTGAGCCATTTCCAGCAGACACCTGTAATCCCAGCTACTCAGGAGGTTGAGGCAGGAGGATGGTAATATTGAGCTAATCTTGAGCAATTTAGTAAGACCCTGACTCAATATAAAATATAAAAAGGGCTAGGGGTGTATCTCAGTGGTAGAGTACTTGCCCAGCTTGTGTAGGGCTCTGGGTTCAAGCCCAGTACCACAACAGAAAACAAAAATGTTGAGCTATTTGCAAACTCTGGACCAACCCTTGGTCCTGACAATTCATCTTTTGAGAAACTTGTCTGGTATCAGCCCTGCCACTTTCCTTCAGTGCCCTCCAATATTCTGAATACTTTGTATCCCAAGAATCTTTGAAGTCAGGTGGGATTTCATTCATGGGTATGTGGTTGTTTGCCTTTCCCTCTAGACAGACCCAATTAGTACATATTCTTCCTTACCCCATTCCCCCCACCCCCCAGTACCAGGCACTATATCACTGAGCTACATCCCCAGCTCCCTGATATACACACTTTTTTTTTTTTTGGACAGCATCTCACTGAGTACCCAGGCTGGCCTCAAACTTGCAATTCTCCTTCCTCAGCTTCCCAAATCACTTGGATTATAGGCGTGCAACACCATACCCAGTACTATAGTGCATTTTTCATAACACCTCCACTAGAGGTGAGAAGATGATGAAAAAAAGAAGAAATGGCCATTTGTTTTATGGTTCCTCTCATCTTTGCCCTCAATCCCAACTTGCCAAAGAAGGATGTATCCATGGATAAATTATATTGAGTGTGAATAAACTACCATCTGGCTGTTCTTTATATTTATTTACCTAGAGAGATCTAACAAAGAACTAAAAGAAAATTGTAACATTTAATCAATAAATTTGTCCCCAGTGTCAGTATGGTGTTATAGAAAATTGGCAGACTTTAAGAGAATCTGGGTTCAAATGTCTGTTTGCTTTTCTCTTTACTTTATAATGTTGAATGAATTAAACTCTGTAATTCTTATTTTTTCATCTGCAAAAATAGGGATTATTATACCTACCTCATAGGATTATTCTAAGAATTGTTACCTTATATAGACTGTAATAGAACTTGATAAATGGCAACCCCTTCCTCCTTTCTTTCCCCTGCTCCTCATTAAAAACTAACATAACTTAGTATTTCAGATGTACAGATCATTCCTCATTCCAATTAAAGGACAAACCCTATGTCATGGTTCTCAAATGGATTCCTCAGAATATTTTAAAATACAGATACCCAGGCCCCTGACCTACTTAATCAGAATGTTGGGTGCTGGTAATCTGTATTTTAACAATATATTCCAGATACTTCTGATGTAAGTAATTACTGAGCCACATTTGACAACCATTATTTATTTTTCACAAAAATGTCCATTAGCTGGGTCTTGTCTTTCCTATAGACATTGACCATAGGATTTAAGTTTTTCTGCTCTTTGTCTTCCATTGTGGTCCCCTTTGCATGTTCTAGTTATATTATACTTATTTATTCTTGTGTCTTTTCCCCACTAGACTGTAAGCTCCTTGAGGGTCAGGATTTATCTCTGTTTCCAGCACCAAGAACATGACCTGGACCACAGAAGATAATCAGTTGTCTTTTGACTAAATAAATGACATAGATTTTAGCCAAAATGTTATTTTGTTGGGGTGTGTGTGTGTCTGTCTGTCTATTTAGAGACTGTGGATTTAAGAGAAAATCAATCTCTCTCTCTTTTATTTCTTTATTTTTGTGGTGCTAGGGTAGAAACCTAGGGCCTTGTTCATAGTAGGCAAGCTCTCTACCACTGAACCACATCCCCCAGTCCAAGATAATCTCTTTAACACTCAAAGATTGAGAATTTGTTGAGTAGAAATATTTGTAAATCAAGATACCAAGTTATACACCACCAAGTTTGTATCTTACCTAGTCCCCCAGCATTACCTTGGTGGGCTGTCTACTCAATACAGTTTAACAGTTATTCACAGAGCAACTCTTCCACAGCTATTGTGCTAAGTGCCAAACACAGGAGGATGAGGAAGGTGTGATCCCTGTTCTCAAGCTCTTTTTCAGCCATCTGTTTCTCTCTTGCCTCTGATTCTATGCCACACATCTAGCACCTGGTCATAGTTTGCCTATCTCAAATTATGTTATTGGTAGGATTGTTTGCCTATTTCTCAGACTTATTGGTACTTGCTTGTTCTCCAGTTTAGAAGTTGGATCCATACGTTGATTTTTTTGCATTCTCCACAATGTTGACTTTTGGTTCAGTCTGGAAGAAGATGTATTAATGCCCACTCCTCCAGTCATTTTTTTAAATAAATTTATTTATTTATTTTAATTAGGTATATATGACAGCAGAATGCATTTTGTTTCATTGTTCATAATTGCAGCACACTTTTCATTTCTCTGTACACAATATGTGCCATCATACATGTACCTAGGGTAATAATGTTCATCACATTCCACCATCTTTCCTGCCCCCATGTCCCCACCCCTCCCCTCCTCCCCTTTGCCCAATCAAAGTTCCTCCATTTTTCCCCATGCCCCCCCAATTATGGATCAGCATCCACTATCAGTATATTTGGCCTTTGGTTTTTTGGGATTGGCTTACTTTGCTTAGCATGATATTCTCCAGCTCCATCCATTTACCTGCAAATGCCATAATTATATTCTCTTTTAATGCTGAGTAATATTCCATTGTGTATATATACAGTTTCTTTATCCATTTATCTATTGAAGGGCATCTCGGTTGCTTCCATAGTTTAGCTATTGTGAATTGAGCTTATCTAAACATTGATGTGGCTGTGTTACTATAGTATGCTGATTTTTAAGTCCTTTAGGTATAGACCTGAGGAGTGGGATAGCTGGGTCAAATGGTGGTTCCATTCCAAGTTTTCCAAAGAATCTCCATACTGCTTTCTATAGTGGTTGCACCAATTTGCAGTTCCACCAGCAATGTATAAGCATACCTTTTTCCCCCACATCCTCGCCAACACTTATTGTTGTTTGTATTCTTGATAACTGCCATTCTGACTGGCGTGAGATAAAATCTTAGAGTAGTTTTGATTTGCATTTTTCTAATTATTAGAGATATTGAACTTTTTTCATATATTTGTTGATTGGTTATATATTTCTTCTGAGAAGTGTCTGTTCAGTTCCTTAGCCCATTGATTGATTGGGTTGTTTGGTTTTTTGTTAAGTTTTTTGAGTTCTTTATATATCCTGGAGATTAGTGCTCTGATGTGCATGTGGTCCAGTCATTTTACATAACATTGATTGAGCAGTTATTCATATTTATTGAGCACCTATTTTATGCTAAGCACTATTTAGAAAACTGGAGAATATAGAAATGAACAGGATAAGTAAGACTGCTATTCTCATGTAGCTTATTTTCTTGTGGAAAAGACAAGTAAACCAATAAGATTATTTCAAATACTGGCAGTGCTAATGAAAATAAAATAATGTGAAAGACTGTGGGTGGAGGCAGTAACTTAATGATCAGGAGAGAGTGCCAGGTAAAAAGAATGGCAGGTACTAAGACTTTGGAGCAGGGTTAGGTTAAGCATGCTTGTTTTAAAGGTTTAGTCCCTGCCTTGAGGAGTCCCGCCCACAGTTCAGGCAAGACACTGGTGTGAGTAATTGTGATACAAGGCAAACTGACCACTGCTATCACAGAAGAGAGACAAGGAGGATTACAGAGCCCTACTGGGTACTGTAGAGGATACAGAGCTTGCCTGCCCAGGAAGGTCTTGCAGCTTAACAGGGAATAAACTCTCAAACGATAGGTGTTTTATGCAAGAGATGGAAGGCTCTGTGAGCTCAGAGCTGGTCTCGAAATATATACAGGTTAATGATAGCCACTAACATTTTCTGGGGACTTATCATGTGCTAAGCTCTTTACCTGGATTTTCTCAATCCTACTACTAACCTATGAGGTTGGTAGGAACGTGCTGGATGGTGACATATACTGCCACTCTCCTCCTACCCTCTTGCCCTTCTCAAGCTCCAGCTCAGAAGAGGGAGACCTCCCAGGTACCTCTAACCCCTGCTCCAGTAGCAAATTCAAGATTTAAGAAGACATAGGTGGCAGTGGAACCAGTCCTGAGAATGTCTGCCAATTTTTCTGCTGATAATGAAAGAGCAAAGTCCATGCAATACATTTTTTCTGATTCCTCCAGACTTTACTTGGAAAGACATCATGTTCTAACTAGGGAGGTCTTTTTGGTGTTCTGCGTTTTATGCTCATGGAGCACTTTGGACTTATCATTTCTTCTTCTGTAGCAGCTTAGTGGCACCATTTTTATCCCTGTTCTGCTGAAGAAGAGACTGTGGACACAGAAAGGGAAGAGATGACTTGAAGGTTTCTGCCTGCATCAGGAACCAAGCTCAGAATAGAAATGATTGCCCATGCTCTGAGCCTAATGGTACCATTTGTAATGTCCACTGAGCAGGCTCATATCTCATGTCCATTTGAACAGGACTACTTCTGAGCTCTTCAGGTCTCAGGAACTGAAATGTCTATAAGGAAAAATTGGTTCCAAAAAGAAAAAAAAAGCACTTGAGTCCTCCCAGGCTCTCCAGAGCATTCAGGACAAAGTCCCTTTGGATCAGCTCACAAGCGCTTCTGGATCTGCTTCCTGATGACTTCTCCAAGCTCATCTCTTTCTGGGGCCCCAGCCACTCTTTAGCTTCAGCCACTCTAGATGACTGGCAATTCCCTGATCACACTGTATTTTTTCTACCTCCATTCTAATTTTCTAAAATATTGTTGCCTGCTTCAAAGGCTCATTCCCCTCTCATCAAGTTAATTCTTTTTTTAAAAAAAATTATTTTTTAGTTATAGTTGGACCCAATACCTTTATTTTATTTATTTGTATGTGGTGCTAAGGATCAAACCCAGGTCCCCACACATGC